ATTGCTTAATACGGATGTAGTCGCTTTAGAAGAGCTAAAAAGAAAATAGTTTCTATTCTTACAAAACTAGTAAGTATTTACTTACGTTATATTATCAGATTATGAAATTTTAAATTCAGAATTCCCAGCGCGATCCAACCTAGATTACAATTGAAAAGTGAAACAAAAACATCAAAAGTATGAATTCATTTCTGTGTGAAACGCGATAAACCTACAACAACTATTTTTTGTTCACTTATTAAACTTTGTGGATTAAAGTTCATGATAATAACAATACCGTTCATGTTATCCATTATTCTATAATGTTAAAAACAATAACGTATCCTATATCTTTGTAATTTATTTTTGGTATAGTCTCTAATTGTTATTAAAATAAATATTATATTAAACGTTTGTCATAAAGACTGAACAATATTTACACAGTAATTATTACTGAATACTTGTTGGTAATAATTACTCTTTCTTTGTATAATTCATTCTCAATATGCTTAACAGGATTAGGAATGTACTCGCATTAAAAATAATATATTACAAAGCAATTGTTTGCCGAAAACGTTACTATTGGTGGGTCATTTGCGCTACTCAGTCTCCACGCACCCAAAAGTTCATAACACCTGGTAACAGATGGGAAATATCGGCAATGTTGACAAGAAGCCCATTGCTAATAACATACTGTGCCAGGTCTCGTCAGCAAATACTGATAGCGCAGGCGGAGTTACCATTCCAGTCTCACCCATAAAAAAACCCTGTCAGGTCGACATCTACACGGTTCCTCCTAGAAACCATCCTGATTGATTTATTGTTATATTCAGCACAATGAGCAAACTGACCTGCCTTCATCTATGAGGATGAAGGCAGGACATATATATATATATATATATATATATATATATATATATATATATATATATATATATATATATATATATATATATATATATATATATATATATATATATATATATATATATATAGTTACTATTCCATTATCATTCATTTAGCCATTACAAGCCTAGACTTATGTTACCGAGTGACTAAACAAAACGATGATGAACGGAACACGCTTTCAGTTCAGATGCGTGACAAAATGCCATGACTCTGAAAACACCCTTAAGTCTACTTTACGTAATGAAATTTAAATTTACTATCGCTCATTTATCTTTATATCCCCTCTTAAGGACGCATAAATAGGTCCTTAGGTGGTTCTCAATTGACTTAATAAAACTGAGGAAATTAAATTTGACAGATTGGCCTAGCAATTGTCTCTTCAAATTCGCCATTTTTAATGGGCGCAGATGTTAAAATTTAAAAGGCACAACAAATGTTACCACAATATACCTACACTTGCTTTAATTACTTTGTTTTTACAACGCTATTAACCTGATTTAAACATGCATAAGGTAAATTACATAACAAGGTTTAATATACACTGTTATCTTCTTTAAATATTATGTATTTTTAATATATGTATGATTAAAAGTAGCCTATGTCCTTCTCTGTCCTAAATAGTACATATATCTGAATATTATATTTCATTGCATCAACTAATACGAACTTTCTTTTACAGTTATAGTATTAGTATAGAATAAATATACTAAATATATGTATATCCCAGTCAAATTTTTTCAGTATTATTTAAACATTAACTTTTACCTGCGACTTTGTCCACGTAACCAAGATATGTTAACTGGCCGGAATAAAAATAACCTATATCCCTTCTCCTTCCCATATAGTAAATGTATACCAAAATTTCATAGTGATTGGTTAAGCCGTTAAGACCCTATAAGGTAACAAACAATCAATCTCACTTTCATATTTATAACATTAGTATTACACATTAATTTATAACATGTATTATAATCATTATGCAGAACAAAAATATTAAAGTCAAATACTGTTTCTTGTAAAACGAAACTTACATCCATAATAGATTTCCAAACATACTTACAATCCTCAGACGTTTGTCAAACAAGAACTACGCAAGCGTATTTACTCACAAGTACTGTGAAACATCTTCCGCTCTTTAACAATAAGTATTACCAAGTATCCATCGTATCTAACTTTCAAAGTTGGAAAGTCAGTACTTAAGTTACCTAATGTGAGATTGTGAAGACTAAAATGCCACCTCTGTTGTGGCATCAAGCCCGGTCACATGACCAATCGTGCTTTGCACAAATTGAGCTAGCGTGCTTGGTTTTGATAGTGTAATTGCAGTACTCAGCGATACAATCTAATGTGATTTTATGGTTTGCTGACACACTAACTAATGCTTCAGTTTATATAATCCGTTAACACTATATAAACGAATTTAGCGTTTCTGATTTTATGTATATGGCTGATTATTGATAAGAATTCATTGTATCGCCTTTTTGGTATCTAGTTTCAAAAATATACCAAGAATATAGTTATAGTATAAAAGATCCATAAACCAAAGTAGTCATCAGCCACCCAAAATTCTTAAATAGTAACCTGATACAAGCAAACACAATGTAGGTCGACTCCACGGGATGGAGTAAGGAAATTCCAAAGGCTTAATAATTTATGGTGAAGTCTAGAAAAGATGTATATTTAGCAATGGACGATGGATAGGTTGCAGTGACAATGTTTGTTTTCGATGATTACTTTAGATATCGGAACGGAAATTGTATTACATAAGTATGTATAACAAGTGTCATGCAAATATAATGTTCAAACTGGAAATACCTTTTTAAAGTTTTAAATACACTATCGGAACTTAACGCGATGACAAATTTTTGAAGGTAAATAGTACCTACATACCTGCTTCTTTATTGCCGACATTTCAAATTAAGTATCTTTATAAAGTGTCGCATTTTAATATTGAAATATAAAATTACCACTGACTACTAATTAAAGATTAGAATAATACAGTCTTTATAAAAAGCTGGGAAGTACTACTATACTAGTCTTCTCTCACTTATAATATACAAAATTTATTAAATTTTTCCACTAAATGCCAACGATATTCAGGATCAACAGAATTAAAATAATAATTGCTGGATAATGAATTATTAGGTATTCTATGATACGGAAAACAAGAAATTGAATAAATATAAACATATCTGCCAATAATTTATGACAGGTCAGACGAGGTCATGATTGTCTTTGTATGCGACACATTATGTTATATTATCTATATTGAATAATTATCATATACATATTTTATAAATATTTACGAATCTGAAGTATTTAATGTAGTTATTTTTAATTTTAATATAATTCATTAATTGTATAATAACCGTAAAAGTTTCTAAAGACATGTAGATGTAGACGTAAAGAGGAAATCTCAGTCACGTCTGCTAATTCATAAACTAAACGGATTTTATATTAAACCTAATATAGATCTTGTCCTGGATTAAGGGATAAGATAGGTATTTTTATCCAAGTAAGGCATTACTGATAATTAATTGTTAATTTATAATGTAAATATTATATAATTATAATAATACCCAAATGAAATAAAACCCAAATAAATCTCAATAGCTGGATACCACACACCACGTTGGATTCTAAAATGCTCGGCGAAATATAGACGTGTCAAGTATTTCGTTCGCCACAGTGATAATAATAGATAATTGCCTCTGGCTAAGCTATAAAGGAGTATAGTCGTGAGTATATTTTCCATTATTTTTACAATATAAGTCTGCGAAACTCAGGTTACGAGATAAAGTTTCTTTGAAGTTACTGTAATTATTATAATCTAGTAGCCAAATAAATACTCATCGCCTTTTTGTTATTCGAACTTTTTACAGCCATAATAAAAAGAGACGATAAAGCTGAAATATTGTGACGAAAAATCTGCTTCAATAATTTACGCCTATTGTCTTGTAAATTTTTCAAGAAATATAAAACTGACTTGCAGACAGTTAATTAAGAAGAAAAAAAATCAGTTTCGCTTTTCATTATTCCAGTATGCGGAGCAAAATGAAATTTGCTTAACTCTATAATCAATAAAGACACCAATTTCACTACTACCAAGCTACACAATATTTTTATAGTTAAGTAAACTTCCAAATAGCGACTCCAGATATACAAACGTGTTGTAGAACGATCCTAATAGCTACAGATAGAGTAATAACTTCAGAATGCTAATAAAATCACCAATTTTTAAGCCATTGCAAAATTCACAATTCGCCAAAAATTTTCTGCATGTATGTTTTTTTTTTTTTTTTTTTTTTTTTTTTTTTTTTTTTTTTTTTTTTTTATAGAACTTAGAATGGCAAACAAGCTGACGGCCCACCTGATGGAAAGTGGTAACCGTCGCCTATAGACATGAGCAGTACCATGGACATAACAGAGTATACTGTTTCGCCCATGATACCCCCCATGCGTTGCCATTCCTGAGGACTCAGGTGTTATTCCTCTGTACCCAGTAAATTCACGCCATATCCCACCCTTCAAACCGAAACGCAGCCATGCAAACACAACTGCTTCACGGTTGAAACACGAATGGGACAGAGGTACCCAAGCAATCGACTTTTGTACAAAGTCTCCCTCTGGTAATGTTATGCGATGTTTTCGCTAATTTAAACTGAAATAAGAATTAATTAGGTCACGTCTTAATTAACTCAGATATTAGACGTGTGTATTAATTTTTGGTTTTCTTTATACCAAATAAAAAATCCTACATTTAAATCAAGTGGAGATGACGCAATCAAGATCAAAATGGAAAGTAACATACCTACTATACTGACCTCAAATAATGTATTTAAAAAATTATTATTACCCTATAGGTATCCTGTATATGAACTTAAAAAAAATAGGCTTCACCTACACAAACCCATTCTGCACGCTTTCCAAAAAAATATTTTTAAACAATATTTACATCCCATAAGAAAATTAATTACTTTATGAAGTAAGCAAGTAATATTTTATTAAATGTACAGAAATGAATATATTTTTTACATTTAGTCGTCTAATTATAGGATACAAGGATAGAATAAGATTAAACTGTATCAGCCTAATACAATAAAACCACTTACCCTGATCGAACATCACTAGTTCTACGGTGGAGTGTAATTTGATATTCTTCACGTGCACACACTCGTCTCCGTGACCCTCGCTTTGAGGACACAAGGCGTCGGGAGGCACATCACTGGCTTGCGTCAGTAGGGGGGACGCGGGGTACGTAAACCGGTGCCCGTCCGTCTGCCCCCAACTCTCTGTAACAATATTATTATAGGCTATAAAATTATTCATACATATCTGTATAGATCGTGTATTAACAGGTTATTAAATGTCAATTCGACATTATTAGAATCTGAGGAAGAAATACGGGCCTCCATTATCTCAGGATTTATGAAAGTAGATAATACAAAAATTGAAGATACAAACTTTTGCACCCCGTTCTCTCTACCTATCTTAATAGCGTGAAAATAAACACTACCAAAACTGTATTCTTTGAACTTTAAACTTCCACGTTGTTAACATCAACAATAAAAAAGCGGATACTTAGATACTATGTATTTACCTGCATTTTTTTATCTGCAGGTAAATACAAATTTTTTCATCGCGTTAAGTCCCAGTAGTGTATTTAAAAAAGTTATTATAGTTCCTAAATAATTATTAGCTGAATTTGAGATTACTATATTCATTCCATTATACCTTATAAAAACTCGTTACGGAATTTCGTATCATGTTCACTGGCCTGTTAGACAGTCAGTTTCACCTTTTATGTACTTATGAGAATACATTCATATTTAGTTCTTAGATCTGAAATGAACTATTTACCTCTATCTATCAGAGGAAGACTTTACAAAACTTATCGGCACCTCTATTCCACTCATATTTCTGTCGTGAAGCAACTGCTTGTATTGCTGTTTTTCAGTTTGAAGAGTAGAGTATGAGAGTGAAATTATAACGTACGAAGGAATAACACCACAGTCCTTAAGAATAGCAATGCATGAAAGGTTACCATAGGTATTATAGTGTATTTTATATATCCATTGTGCTATTTACTTCCATAGACGGTTCCTTCAGGTGGACCGTCAGCTTGATTACCACTCTAAGCATAATAAAAAATCTATACTTCATCAACTTTTAATAAATTTTTAAATAATTTATAAGTGTTTGTTTATGTAAATAAGTATATAACGCCCTTCGGAAAGGAATAATTAAACCAGTGATTCGATATAAACGCTCGGCTGCTTAAATAGGTGGCGACTATCAATGTAAATTGATACATACCTACTAATTTCTATGCAGTAGGCTACTATTGCTAAATAGGATATAGCTGTGTCGCAAATTGCATATATTAAATTACTTAGTCAATCCTTTTTCTCCTATATAACTTAACATTTAATACTAAATTATCCACATCTGCGACTTTATCTACACAGTATTAAAATTTTACACGTAATATGATTCTTTTATTGGCCGTATGGTCCCGGTATAAAATAAACTACCCCTTCCTTTTCTGTGGGTGTCGTAAGAGGCGACTAAAGGAACTTAATGGTAGAAGATTTGGCAATAGCGTACCTCTTAAAATATCTCTAAAAACCTAACTACGGTTGCCAACCCACCTACTAAGCGTGACAACTACTAGCAAAACTCACCGTATGGGGGAAGCTTATGTTTAGCAGTGTACAGTTTACGGCTGATATGAATGATTCTTTTATACTATCACCACCTTAGAAACTTTTTCGAAAACATAAGTATTTATTTAATAATGACTTCTATATTTTAAGCATCTTTATGAATATTAAAAGTTTCATAAATTTCTATATTTTAAGTGACTTCTTAAAATTTTTTAATATTTCACACACAATTAATTCTTATAAAACATGCATTAATTTTTAGTGTAATATCTACAAAGTTATAAAATTTCATTGATATTTGTTTAGCTGCTTTCTCCATGTTGACATAATAGAGAGATGTCCATTCTAAAAGTAGCTTATTTTACAAAAAAAAAACTTAACGTATAAAAATACTTTCGATTCTACCATTTTTTGCTGTCTACTTATTATGTTACTACAGTACTTTCAAATCAATAGACAACAATAATACTTGATATCATATACCGACAGTAATAATTAACGAATATAAACTCATATCGAATCATCACATAACAGGCTATTATTTGTAACCCTGTCACTAACTTATTTTATGGTTTTTTAACTGTATTCAGGTCTATTGTTTGTGTTTAAAATAGCAGGCAATCGATCAGTGAGTTACACCTTTAATAAAGAAAGCAGCTACCGGGAGTCAAATTACTTATTCATAACCTTTTAATTGAACATTTGTGAAACAAGGCTTATAAAAGGTAAAAGTGTCGTAAAATATATAATATACGCCAGTAAATTCATTTTAACCATGAACTTCATTTAATGACAATCGGCACAATAGATTTAATGATAGATTTTAATGTACGATGCACAATAACCATCCTAAATGTTTATCTTGTTCATAAAAGAAGATATATAATAACACGTAGAGTGTGGAAATATGTTACATGTATTGTACTAGCTGGTGTTATTGCATCATTACAAAGACAATCGGCTTTTACAGCCGTTTGAGCATTGTCATGAATAAATTATAAACGGTAAAACACTTTACGTTTTGTGAAACTCCACAAGTATTTTTACAGTGGAAGGAAACGAAAAATAATAGTCTAAAAACAGATTATGTTACATAAAAAAAAATGAAATTTCAGTATTGACAAAATTAATGTTGACTTGTAAGGTCTCAATTTTAAAAAGAATCACCAATAAACGACAAAATTATTTAAACTTGAAAAATATTTTATTTTAGAAAGCGAATCCATGTGCCTGCAAATGGATTTCGCTCCGTACAAGTCGGATTTTGTTACGCAAAGCGCCGGCTTCAATCTAACAAGATTAATATGATACCAATACAAAAGTAAATCCTGTCGATTGCAAAAAGTCTTCAGTCTGTCAAAAATAAATACTTCTTACATGATGTTAATACAAGTTGAATAGTCTTAATGTATTTAGCTTTAACATAAACCTACGTGGTTTCTGTATGCTAATATAACATACTTTCTGTAAGTCTATATTTTTGTAATAATAAATAAATAAAAACACAGACTAACTGAGAACTGTCTTTTGTAAGTAAAACAAATATATTTAAAATTCTTTTTAAATGTTATAAATCTATGTAAGATAATTATTAGAGTTAAACTGGAAAAATAAGGAACCTGTTGCGCTCGTTCCAGTATAAAACAATTCTACGGACCTATTTTAAATAACAGACTGTTCCAAAATCACAATGTTAAATCGAAACACTATTGCAACATGTGGAAAAACAGAAGGCTGTTCTAGAGCAGAAAACAACTATTTATTTCTATAAGGTTATTTTATTCATAGGTTAAGTCTATATGCTATATATGAGAAGAGCATATTCTGTGTTTAGTTAGGTCGATGTGGTTAATTTGGAAACTGGAACAGTTGTTATGTTTGCAATATAACAGTTCCGAATTGTTATATTTTTAAACATATTGTAAATAATTATTCCGATATATATGCCTCACCTCTAATAGTCAGGCAACATTTAGTTTGCTTTAAGTTTTTTAGCAACTTTTGTCAAATGTGTGCAAGGAGGGTAGACGTGACAACCACAATAATAAAACCTGTCTCCTAAATTTCGCAGGCTATTGATAATTCACAGGTCGTATTTATCATATGCAGTCTTCATGTAGCTATCAAGCCGTTTAGACTATTGTTTTGCCGATTCGTACATTTTTTTTAAATAGTGAAATGGGATGGTAAACATATTTTTTTAAATGAAGTAAATAAAATAGCAAACCACGCTTATGCTGTTAGTATAGCCTAGCAAAAGAGGAAGAGGAAGACCGAGGAATAACAGACAACTATAACTACATGGGACAGATAAAAGAAACACTAGGTGTCATGTCGTATAGGGAGATCAAGGATATGGCCTGGGATAGAGCTGGCTGGAAGAAGATGTATGAATTAGTTGCACCGACAAGAGGAAACTCTTAAATGGAAAAAAAAAGATACCCTAGCGTGCTACTAGTGAAAGTTTTTTTTTATACCATTGAGGTGGCAAACAAGCATACGGCCCACCTGACGGTAAGCGGTTAAAGTAATAATGATGAAGCCAGATTAGTTAACCCGTCGTAAAAAATTCATCATCAATTATCCACAATAGTTTCCAGAGGGCACCTACTCGCGTGAAGGTGGCTCCCTCTAATATCAAGAGTTTCTGGTCACATTCTTTCCATAACTATTGATATTTATATCCACTCACTCCCAACGACGCATTTAAGTTAACGTTTTATAATTGTTTTTATTTGTTATATAGTACAAGTATTATAATAAACTTTCGAAAAATACCTATTTATTATATTTTTTTATAGCACGAAGGTGGTAAACTAGCATACAGTACGTCTGATGGTAAACATTTACTGTAGCCTATGGACGCCTGCAACACTAGGTGTGTCACGTACACGTTGCCGACCCTGAGGAAACCTTAATATACCCTTTTTGAAGAACCCCATACTGTAGTCTCTAGGGAAAAGCTCGGCAGCGAGCTCATCCCACAGCGTAAACATTGGCTGAAGAAAATTCCTTCGAAACCGCACTGTACGTGATTTAGGTTAAAATATTTGATTCTATTCTTTATTAATTATTTCATTGTAATTGGCTAAGATCAATATATTTTAAATGGATATTTTAATAAGTATACCTCTCAATTAACAAAACGGATCAACTCATGAAAATTGTTTACTATAAACTGAACACAAACAACGTTTTCCCGTGAAAAACATGAAACACCCACTTAATAACTTTAGGAAATTAATCCCATACAATTATTATTGGCGGATCTCGGAAATCGAAAATGAATCTATTAAAACGGGAATTATTTTTCATGCTAAAAAACAGATCTCTTTTTTAACGAACTTAAAAAAGGAGATTAATATTATTATTGTCAATTCGATTGTATTCTTTGTATATTTTTTAGTATATTTCTACTATATTTCTTACATTTAAGCAAATTTCAAGTCAAATTTGATATTTCTTTTTTTATATAGAAACTATTCGTTTCCTTGCTAATTATATACAAAATTTTACAAATCTTTTAAAATATCAATATTCCTTTTTAAATTATTCCATTAATTAATATATTTATTTATTTGGGTGCTTAAAAATAGAAATTCTCACCACTATAATATCTTATGGCGGTCATATGTCAATTGTTACTGTCGTAGTGAAAGTAAAACTCGGCATGCCTACATTTCACCAATCATATTTGAATACAACATGACACGGGTCTAATAGTATCATTCAATTTGATTTATTAAGAGCGTCCGTATCTAATATAGTTTAATGTCGGTATTATCTGTCAAATTTAAAATCAATTTAACAATTTTCAATATTTCCGATTGATTATTTCCAAAACACTCTGATAACCAACTAATATGTTAACAAATGTAGAATTTTAAAATTCTAAAAGCAGAATGTGAAGTAGGTGTAAACAGTTTAATTACATTAATGTGCAACTTATTCCAAGATTAACGTATCAGTCCGTTATTAAAGTATTTTTTTTATACAATCCATTCGTTATTAGAGTACTTTTTAAATATTGATTATTTAAGAAGTAATTATATTTGAAAATTCATAAACAAATTTCGCTGTTTCTATATTTCACTATGAATGCTCTTTACGGTTTTTGTCATCACGAGAAACTTTTAGTCGTAATTTTATATTTAAAGGTTCTGATATCGAAAGCGGCCACATTCAAACTATGTCGAAATAAGTACCTATTCCAATATATTACAACACTCTTTTGTATATTACTTTATATGTATGAATAAATATGAACTTCCACCATGCAAAGTCGGAGATACATTTATATTCAAAACAATGTCTCCTTATTCTGTAAATGACGGCTGCTTTGAGGTTATTACACAATAAAATTGTATATATCATAAAATCATTTGTTCCCCAAAAACCCTACTTCATTCGCATAAGTATATAAAAAGTGACTTTAAATTCCGATTCCAATACAAAAATGGTGCAGAAAAGCATCATTTAATATATATATATATATATATATATATATATATATATATATATATATATATATATATATATATATATATATATATATATATATATATAATTTGGATTAACTTTACCAAGAACATTAAAGTCTATGCCTATATATTGTTTTTACAAAAGCTTTAATAAGAACATATTTGGCCATAAGCGTCACAGGGTGAAGTACATATCTACATGTAATTTTGTTCAATTCTTTTAAATTTATTATTATTATTATAATCATATCAGCCGTTATCTATGCACTGCTGAAAATAGGTCTCTTCATAGACTGCCATAAAGATTCGAATCATTTATCTCTATTTTGGTGCCATTTTTATCTTGGATTTTTCTTCGATCAATGTTCAATCAAAACGAAATTATTATGAATCCAATACGGAAATAAACCCTATCTATTATAGAAAAGAAGATCATCAAAATGTTGTAACAAAATAATTAAATAATCATTAATAAAAAATACAATCCAATTCATGCAAATCTTTTCTTTTTATAAATCGCTTAACAAAATTCTATAATAATATCAATTAAAAGTTTTTAGATATGAGGTGATCGAGTGTTCTGGATATAAATTTATATTTAATTTCATGGCGTGTTACGACAAGTGAAGAAAGTGAAGTAATCAGTGAAGAAATCAAGTGCCCGCATTAACCACAAATAATGTGCTTTGATTGCAGTGTCTCCACTATTGCGTATACGTAATCACAGTTATGTACTACAATCATAGTGTTAGGAATTAAATATTCTGTTACTTTGAATGTTTGAAATTTCAAAACAAAAGACATTATTTGTATATATTACGGAATTTCAATGCTTAATAAAAAAACTAAGTAAGCTATATAGCCCGAGGGACGAGCAAACTAGAATTGATCCGACAATATGACTCGAAGAATTGTTAATCGACGGAGAAATAAAATTCTCAAATGGCGACCCCATACAGATAAACGCAATGTAGAACGACCCCCACTAAATAAGGCCGACTGCCTTAAGACAGGGAGACAGAGGATCCTTATCGGTCAGATAAATTCCTCATGGCAATGTATGAACAAAAACATAGGCCTTCCATGTGGAACATCAAGACACCCAAATAAATTTTGATGTCGTGATATTAAGTTAAGATCACAACATAACGATTTTATTGTCACCCAAAATATGACTATAATTGAGGGGCAAATGCCCTTGTTTTTAAAATTTTTTTCTCATTTTAATATTAATTTATTTAACTAAAAATAAACTAAAAGACTGCTTTCCACAAAAAAAAACTTCTATTATTGCAAAACCAGTTACTTTGACTTAAAAACTAACCAACTCAACTTATTTTCATAAAATTGTATGGAACTGATTCGTAAATATATCCTTTCAGATACAAAAAGAATTTTTCAAATCGGTTTATAATTGACGAAGTTATAAAGTAACAAACATAAAAAATGAAAATAGATACAACTGAATTCAGAACCATCTTTTTTTTAGAAATTGATTGATAAATTGTAAAACTACAAAGTATTATATTTATAGTAGTAGTAGTGGTATATTTATAGTAGTATTTTAACAAAATAATACCTAGCATTCGACCGCAAAAAGCGTAAACGAACGGCCGAGGCAACTAACAATACCTATTTGTGATGTTAATTTCTCCCTCATTTGAATTTCAAAACTGAAATCAGAAATTGTGGTCCTGACGAACAATAAAATAGGGTATTAACCGATAGACAAAGTAGCTTGGGGCATCACAATTTCGGGAGTAAACGTAACAATTGTGGAAATATCAATGATTTATTATTAAGGCCCTGAAATTAAGGACATTTTCTAAGGTACAAGGGCGGTGTGACATAATGATACTCTACTACGCCTTACAACTGCGGTACAGAGTTCAATTTCGCGGCTAACCAGAACCAATCAAAAAAAATTTGTGTCAATTTTACTTTAGCTACTTACTGATTTGTTTTATGAACTAGTATTTGTAATAATGACCTTATAAAAGCAAGTAATATTTAAAATCCTGATAAATTACTTAATAAATCATTTAAAACGGTTACCAAGTAACGATACGGATTAATAGAGAATATCTTTCCTTATGAAGTCAGTATATATAAGACCCGCTCCTGTTTTGAGATTCGAATTACTTCAAGCAAAATGTGAGTAAGTAATTGGGTAGCTAAACTTAACTTCTCTAGGATTTCCATAATAAAAAAATTATCTTTCACTTTTTATTTAATAAAAACATTAAGTATATAAAAATAATAGAAGTCAAGATTATTAACTGTAGAATCCTTAAAAGCTAAGAGTTCGTTAACCTTCGCATGCCGAAAAAATATAACCGTATCGTTGTAAATAATTCTGATCTTTATGACTTAATGACTGTAATTCAACAACTTATTCACTCCCTGTTGTTACCGACTATCAAATAAAGTGACTTATCAATCTCACGATCGGATGATTTTATGACAAAATAACGTGACCCACTAAAATCGTTTTAACAAAGTGCTTATGTAATATCGAGCTTAGTACACTAAGGCAACGCGCAACCGTGCTTAGTACTGGGTAGCTATCTCTATTGTCTATGTAGGTACTTAGTTGTGAATAATCAACTGTCGACCTTAGTAGTCAACTAATAAGTTATTTAAATCGCTTAGACCTCGTGATGAAACCTAATTGCATAATAAGGTCGAGTACATTATAAGACGACTCTTAGAAAATTCTGTATACTTATAATTCCTTATATTTATAATTTATTATTATTATTATTATATGAACCGTTAACTGTCCACTTCTAAACACAAGCCTCTCCATATTGTTACCAGCAGTTGTCACGCTTGGCAGGCGGGTTGGCAGTCGCAATTGCGTTTTAGTGATATTTTAAGAAAGCCGCTGCTACTCCTCCCTCGACCATTAAATTCCCTTAATCGCTTCTAAAGACATTCACGGGAAAGAAAGTTCTACTTCATTAATATACAATTGCTGTTATTAGATATTTCTATAGATATAAATCTGTATGAAGACTCTAATAATACAACGTATTACCATTCCTTTATGTACATTTCTTAGAATGATTAACAAAACAAAATACGACACATCTATGCAAGAATATAAAGTCTTGGAATAAAAAGCCTGGTCAGCATGGCAATAATAGAATATATTCACCTCTCATAAAGACTCCTGCCTAGAACTAGGTCATAGATAGATTTTTAAAGTAAAACAAAATACCATTTCCGCCTGTCATAAATTGTGCAAAATTAATTAAAATTGTCTGGTAGACGTCGTTCTTAATTATGAAGCCATTGTACTTTTCATTAAAAAGAAAGTCTACAAAAATGTAGAGAATGGACATTACGTGGGCCAATCCATAAAATTTTCCTTCCAAACTCTTTACAAAATTACATTACAAAATTACAAAATACAACAAAGAATAATGTAAACGATACTTAACCTTGTGCTCATTAACCAGAGGGAGACTACAAAAGTCGTTTACTTGAGCACCTCTGCCCTATTCGTGTTTCTACCGTGAAGCAGTCGTGTTTGCATGATTGTGTTTCTGTTTGAAGGGTGGAATATAGCAGTGAATTTACAGGATACAGAGGAATAACACTCGTGTCCTCGGAAATGGCAACGCATGAGGGGCATCATGAACGAAACAGTATACTCTGTTACGTCTATGGGACTGCTCATGTCTATAGGCGACGGTTACCACTTTCCATCAGGTGGGCCGTCAGCTTGTTTGCCATTCTAAGTTGCATAAAAAAAATTAAACACATTATAATATCTTCAACAAATCAAAAGATTTACCCCCTTATTTAAAAAAGAGTGTAACTTCTTATAAGTATATTTTAGCTATGAAGTGTTTTGTACTTTTCTTTTCCGCTAAATTCTCAATTTGGAAGAAAACGACAAAATACTCAACAGTTAAAATAGGTTTATAGGACGTTTTAGTTTTCATAAATAAGGGAACACTACTATATATAAAAAAAAAATTACATTCAAGAACACCTTTGATTCTAAGATCAATGAAATATATATTTTAAATGCAATGTAGTGTAATGAAACGTCGACAATAAAAAAGCAAATATGCAGTTTTTATTTACCTGCAAAAATTTTTCTTGGCATTAAGTCCCGATAGTATATTTAAAACACATATATGTAAACAATGCGAAAGTTTAAAATGAACAACCAAATATAACTATGTACTCGTAAGTGCAAATTTTATAAAAGTATATGTAGATTCCATTTATTAGATTCTATTTTAATAAGTACTAGAAAACACACAACTTGTCAAGTCTATATGTATCTCACTATCGTGTTAAAGATGCAGGACTTTTGTCATAAAAGACCGGATTTTCACGTTTCGCAATTTCTCAACGCCAAAATGTGTCAAACGGAAATCCTGTTACAAAAACACGCAGAGGAGCTCAGAGAAACGACCAGTTGACGTGTTTACCTCGGAGGTAACGTGTGGCACATCTTTACTTAAATATTTCAATATTTTTATTTTTAGTATTTCTATACCTCAAAAACGTAACAAGACCTTGTTATCTTTTTAGACAGTTACCAAACTGTTACAAAGGTTAGATTAATATGATTCAAATAATTATCCAAGATTTTAATACTGACAAATTCGTTGTAAATAAAATCAAGTTACAGTTCATACTATATATTTATATTGTATGTATCACATCTCCATATTTAGAACTAGCAGAATTTTTCATCGTGCCTCTGGTGGGCCAAATTGTTTATAATTACTCCTCTCTATCCAAACGTTGTCTGGAAGAGATCGTTTTTAGCGATAATGTCGCCCAATGTTTTCTCATTGTGATTATTTCTTGTAATTGTTTATATTTATAATAAGTTTACTATTGTAATCTTTTGGAGAAAACAATAAAAAGTATCTATCTATCTATATTTCAATAATATAAAAAATAAAAATCAGTGTTACCAACATTGAATTTCATATCACAGCGAAGACTTTTTTGTAAGGGAATTATATTAATTTATTTTCTAATAGATTTAAATCAAAATTATTGTAATTTTAATATATCTTTAAATCATTCAAACAATCATTTTGTGAAATTATTAAATTAAAATATAAGATTAAGAGAAACGGCACCTCAGAATCAGCTCCCATAAATTAATTAAAATAATGTGTCATTTTTACCTGACCAAGCACATATATACCTATAGTATATAAAGAAAAAAGTTTGTAGTAATACAATCATATAGAAAATAGCGTGCGCGTTTTGCACGTATTTGTACGTTAGTCTTATTTCAAGTTGACCTATATGTACACGCGACCTTTTTTCGTCTCTCTACAGGTCAGACTATATTTAATAAAGATGTACTTGGCACTCAGTTCTGTTTGTTTATCTAACATCGGTGAACAGATATATGTTAAAATATTTAACATTTTGTGAAAAAATTAAATCCAAATGGTTTAAATTACACTCTTTCTCTCTATATAACTGAATTATTATTATGTGGCCATTATCAAATGCCCTCATAATGTGACAAACTCATTCAAGAGGCATAATATAATAATATTATGCCTCTTGAATGGGTTTGTCACATTATGAGGGCATTTGAGGATATAGAAAAGAGATACAGACAGATGTAATAATATATTTTCATCATTTCAACCATTATTTGTCCACTGCTGGACATAAGCCTCCCTCATAGACCACCATAAAGACCGGTCCTGAGCCACCTGCATCCACTGACTACCTGCAATGCATTTCAGATCGTCACTTCATCTAGTGGGGGGTCGTCCTACACTGCGTTTGCCCGTACGCGGTCGCCACTTAAAAACCTTTCTTCCCCATCAAATAATATATTTAACAACGGTCTAATTCCAAATTAGCATTTATACAGCATAATAAAATATGTACCTACTCTACTACTAATATATGTATATACTCTTAATTTTCAAATCAGTATTGTTCTTTTTTTTACGGAACTCTTCAAGTCATATCTATTTATACTCTAAAGCCCATCATGTATATATGTATATATATATATATATATATATATATATATATATATATATATATATATATATATATATATATATATATATATATATATATATATATATGTATATATATATATATATATATATATATATATATATATATATATATATATATATATCATCTATGAACAATCAAGGATATCACAGAATATATATTCATAATTCTCCTCATAGATTATCACTTCTGAAGCCTAAGGCTGTGTAATTTCTCTAGCAGTCCACTTATTTAAGTTTTTGGAATAGTTCTTTTTTGTTTGTATTTAAAAATCTAAATAATTGCTCTAATGATCTTCGTTCACCGAAAACAAAATTCTGCGCGGACAATAAGTACGCTAATTATTATCTCATATTTACTCACGAACTGTTTAAGGAGTTTTTAATCTAAGCACTTCCTTTTGTAGATCGAGAACATCATAGAAACTGCGTATCAATTTTTATATCAAGTGAGGCTCTGTCAACCCTGAATATCTTCGACCAAGTAGATACACGGTTGCAAACTCGCTTCACACTTTCACTATCGTTACACTTACGCTTAATATTTCTATCATCAATTTACATTATAAAAGCTTATCATTTAACTGTCTGTTAGAAATATCGACTTTTACATTAAGCACCTTACATAATAAAGGTTTCTAAATAATAGAAAAAGTCTAATTACAAATACGTATAATCGCTTTAAAACTCATTCATAATTGTACTCTTTTTAGAGATCCGTACCAAAAAGGTACAACAGGAATCATTATGGTACGATTTATCCGCCGTCCGTCCGTCACAGCATTATACTCGTATCTCAGTAACAACTAATGATATCGATTTCAAATTTAGAATAGTTTTGTCTATTATTGCCCCACATATATTGCAATGAAAATAATAATTTAAAAAAATATTTTCTTTGTTTCGGGTTTCAAAAGGGATACTCAAAACTCAAAAAAAATCTTACTAGTTCAAGTAGGATCTCGTATAAAAAAGCTTCGTATGTACATTTTAAGATTGATTATTGTTTATGTTGCATAGATTACGCCTTATGATAAAAATATGACAATAAATATTTACATTTCCTTCCCCATTTATATCCGAAGTTTGCAAGAAAAACCTAAATTATTACAATTTATAAAAGTATATGTGAATATTACAAAATAACTAACGTTTCTAATTACTACAATTTCTAAGAATTTATAAAATAAAAACCCCTCCAAAAACAAACTAAATTGTGTGTTTGAGTTTTTAACCATAGATGTGGCCTAATATAAGAAATTACTAATTGAAGCACTAATAAACAATAGGTATCCATTTTTTATATAAGAAATACAATAAGGTCTTTTATCATGTATATTATCTACATATTTAAATAATAATATATGCATAATTCAAACATTTTTTATGTAAAGAAAACAAAAACCTATTTACAGGTTACTTACGGAACCCTTGGTGAGTGAGTCTAATTCAAACTTGACCGGTTTTTTCTTATAGTATATGCCTTAATCACCCACTTTCACCGGCGACTTCGTGTGATCCACTTGTTCGATTCCGTATCACCCAACAGTGTCGAGAATAGAAATATGAAACCTTGTAGCGACCAATAAGAGTGGCGGTTAATCTGAATAATACGATGTATAATAATAAATATAAATAAATACCTCACATATTATATATTACACACCGATATCAAGTTTCAAACGAAGCAACGCTTTTAGTACAGGTACTACATAATCGAGAGATGTAGATTCATTACACACATATAAAATTTTGCAGAGGAAGACTTTGTACAAAACTCGTTTATTTGCACCACTATCCCATTCGTGTATCTACCGTGAATCAATTGTTTTTGCATGGTTGTGTTTCAGTTTTAAGGGTGGGATATGGCAGTGAATTTAAAGGGTACAGAGGAATAATACCTTAGTCCTCAGGAATGGCAACGCATGAAGAATACCATGCGTCAAACAGTATACTCTGTTATGTCCATGGTACTGCTCATGTCTATAGGCGACGGTTACCACTTTCTATCAGATAAGCCGTGAGCTTGTTTGCCATTCTAACTTGCATAAAAAAATTTCCAAACCTCATACATTACTTATTTTGTTTACTCGTACATGTAAGTATTATACAGAGATGAATCCACGACAATCTTCAAGTGAAACATTATGTTATACCAACCACTACATCACCAAAGTCGATAGAACGTAAATTGTTAAATATAATATAAATTATTTAACCTAATGCTATATATATGTTGCGAAATGGACAATAAAAATAATGTACTCGAATTCCTGTACTGAATAAAATCGCTAAAAAACGACAAAAGAATGATTAAATTACAACATACAGAGGACCTGCCATGAAATGTTTTCGAAATTTCGGGGCCGAACAAAACACAAATCTGATGTCAAAAATACATAATACATAATATTTAAAAATGTTAAAATATCATTCGTTTAGACTTTTATGGTAGGTTTTATAGTGAACGAAATGTTAAGCTTCATTTACTGTGCCGATTTCGGTATGAACGAAAACACGAAATTGAGTCCGAAAATTCAGAATTTCATTTCATGGTAGACCCCTGATAACACTGTAACTGCATAGCTACCACTAGACAAGCTATATGCCATTGTAACGCTTTCCTGATACAAAAGCCATCATTATAATTATCATCAGATCCAATTACAGCAAAAGTTGATTCTAATAACGGTGGCTTTACCAAGAACTAAAACAGTAAATGGGCTGTTACGTTACTTAATTACAAGGACAAATTTGAATCCTCGCACTAAATTACACGTGCAAAACATTAGACGGCAGACATTTTCAAATTAATGTGGCCCGAATTCGGGACCCCTTTTACACTAATGAGAAACAATGTTTACTATAGCTAAAACCTTTTACGCTAATTTCAAAAAGGCTTTTTTTTGCGTGGTACAACAAAGATGTAAGTACGTAATTGTTGTCAGGAAACATGTGTTAGATATGTTTACTAACAGTACTGAGATTACGAAGTAGCTCAGTGTGTTACTATCTCGAATTGAGTGAAGAGTTCGAATCGAACTTTATTTAAATCGAACTGGATTTCCGAAATAAAAAAGCTAATGAATTAAACCACTTCCAGGTGGCGTATCAAAATGAAACCATACAAAAGATTTGAAGTTATATTTTCAAGAACACAATTCCGAAAACCGCATCCAATTTGATGCAGTACTTTTTGCGTGATGCCGGAACAAACATACAGACGGACGAACAGATAAAAATTTCTAAAAATTATTGTTAAAGGTATGTCAACTGTCGGTCTCATTAAGACCCCTTATATTTTTTTTCTTAACCATCTCCTATATACATACATCTTGTAATTGCAATTGTATTATATTAGTAAAATATGTTAACAAAATATGTTCACGACTATAATCCGAGTGCCAGGGGGAAGGGATTGTTAGTAATGCGAGCTATCAGTTACATTGCTAGCAATATACCCTTTCAGATCGACCTCCACGCGTTTCCCCCTGGAAACTATCGTGGCTAATTCTAATTGAATTCGTCAAGATGGGCTAACTGGCCTGTATTCATTCTTATCGATCACCCTTCACTGGTGCTCCGCCAGCGTATCCTGTTAGCGCAGGCTAGATTACCATTCCGTTTTCATCCATCAAAAAAAATCCAAGTGCCAAAGTGCTGTAGTCATTAGCATGCCAATGACTACAGTCATATTGGTACGTAGTGAAATATAGGAATACTCGGCATGCCTACATTTTAGTAAGCATATCAAAATATAACGTAGCAAGAGGCAAAATTACCACCGTCACTTTAATCTTCAGTACCGGATTTGAACTCTGACTTTTTGAATCACGGCCTTTGTGGTCGGAGTAATAGGTCTGTCCGGAAAGTTCGTATAAAAGTGTTCTGGAATGCGAGAAAGAGGAGTGGGGAGGCCAGGTAAGCGCAGGACCCCTTCCTTATGTCCCTAACAATGCTTCAGTTCTGGTCTGACCGCCGTGCGGTGCGAACTGGCTTGTCACGCCATCTGTGAAGTTACCTCTTAACGAAACCCCGTCGGCATGGAGCCCGCTTCCGTTGAAGAGCAGCGCGTCGTAATCAAGTTTCTCTCGAAACTCGGCAAGAATGGCCGTGAAATTGATGTCGAATTTGATGTCGAATTAAAATCCCAAAGCAAAGAGTGGAAGACATCCGGGGAACCACGAACAAAAAAATCAAGAAAATCCCGCTCAAATGTCAAGACAATGTTGATTGTTTTTTTCGATGTTCGGGGGATTGTCCATCAAGAATTCGTCCCTCCAGGCCAGACAGTTGATGGAAAATTCTACGTCGATGTGCTCAGACGCCTCAAAGCTCGTGTGGCACGAGTTCGTCCAGAATTGGCGCGAGAGGGGCGTTGGATTCTTCACCACGACAATGCCCCTGCCCACACCTCTCTTGTTGTCCGTGAGTTTTTGAGTAAAAATTTCATTACGGTGACCGAACACCCCCCCTATTCGCCGGATTTGGCCCCGTGTGACTTCTTCTTGTTCCCAAAAACCAAATTGGTACTTCGGGGGCGGCATTTGGGGGACATAAATGAGATAAAAAAAGCTACGACGGGGCAGCTGAGAAACCTACAACCAGAGGACTTTCAAGGAGCCTTCTCACAGTGGAAACGGCGTTGGCACAAGTGCATTATGTCACAGGGGGAGTACTTTGAAGGGGATAAAATTGATTTACCTGAATAATTGTAAAATAAAATTTTTAAAAAACTTTTATACGTATATTCCGGACAAACCTCGTATACCACTGAAGCACGATGTTCTTTTTATTTTAAAATTGATTCCTCCCACATAAATTTCTTCTCTAATAAACCCTATTCATCATCATCATCATCAAACGTTAACTGTCCTCTGCTGAAAATAGGCCTCCCCCATAGGGGGGGAGGGGTTTACCAATGCTTGCCACGCTTGGTAAGCGGGTTAACAACCGCAGTTACGCTTCGGTGATGTTTTAAAAGGGACGCTGTAGCCCATCCCTCAACCATTAGGCTCCTTTAATCTCTTCTTACGACACTCATGGGAAAGAAATGGATAGCATTCCATTACCTTATTAACCCCATTAACCACACCTAATTATTTTAGGGAGCCAACAAGCGACAAAATACATCATGATCAAATATTTTGTAGTCGTATATTGTTTTGTATATACGATACATTTTCACAAAAATTTTAAATCTACCTAATTACAGTTATTACGTAAATTTATTATCAAAATTTGCTAATATTTTTTTTTATTAAATATCTATAAATAGATCCGCAAAAGTATAAATAAACTTTAACGTTTTCCCACAAAAGCGTGTCTAACATCTGTTTATACCTAAACAAAAGAGTCAATCTTATTAAAAAAAAAAAAAGGTGTTTAAATTAATAAATTTTATTATATTATAGTTTATAAACAAATAAACATTATTACACCTACAAATACCATTACCGTTAGTTGGAAGGCATCGAGAGAGACCTATACCCAACAGTAGATCGGAATACGCTAATAATTAATGAATGAATTATTACTCCAACTTTACAATATTAAACAGCAACTTAAAGAGGTTTGTCCGCAAAAACCGGTTACTTCAATCGTGACAAAATTAAATGTATCACGATTAAAGTCGCCGTTCTAACGCGGGCGTTAACCCCATCGATTGCAAAAATAATTGCCTATAAAAAGCAAAAAATATCGCGTAACACAGGTACGTGCAAAAAATATACTCAAATTGGGAACTTTCTCCTTTTTGACGTTTAAAAGTGTTTTAAAAATGGAAATATAAACACATTATTTGATGGAAATGTTTTAGAAAGCATACTGATATTGTCATCACGCGAATTTTATTCTATCAATTGTGAACTCGTTTTCGAGATTTCATGATAACGAAATTTTGTAAAAAGCTGTTTATTAAGGCATTAACCATGGATTAACCTATAAATTAGAAATTCGCGAATACTTCGTGATCAAATGTTAATTGTCAAAAATAACGGTATTACGTAGTATATTGTGGTATTTAATCGCGAGATGAATTTAATGCACTTTCCTCTAATAAGCCGCACCACTAACGATCGATAGATAGGACCTATTCATAAGAGATTTTAGTCTCAAATCACTCTGCAGATGTATCTTCAATTACTAGTCATTCGCTAATGGCTTTTAGATAATACAAAATATGTCAAAAAAGAAAATTGTTGGCAATTATAATAATGAAAACTAAGAGTTTTCAAGAGACGCGTGAAAAAGAAAATAAACGGTTGCTCCTGTACATGGAGAACACCAAATTTAATTTCGGTTATAATATGATGTACTGACATATTATAAGCTATTATAAAAAAAATGCAAGATACGTAATCAAGGAACTAATGTTGGATCTTTCTGATGAATCACACTTATTACTTTCGTAAATGCATGTTCAAACCAACCAAATACATTATGTAGTTGACATTTCTTTGTGCCTTTGTATACACAAAGGCTGTTAGTCGCCAAGCCGTACAAAATTCTCGCTACTTGTGCTGTATTGTGTTCACTAACTTGTTTGCATATACTAGAGTACCTAAGCGGGCAATTCACTTGCAAATTGTATACTTTTTAACTCACTGTCTTGAATTTTATTTGACATTTATTATCTTGTATAAAATTCATTAAAATCATTAACGTCGTTCATGAATGAATTCACTATTATTTGTTCAATATTGTGATTTTTTATAAATTATATATATAATTTTTTCTACTATCCTGTTCTCTCTCGAAACACCACTTTAGTCCTACTTACTACCTTCAAAGTAATCGTATAGAGTTTTCAATCGTTTTCACAACTAACTTGATGCTTTTGTCTGTGATCTAAATAATAACCAGTATAGTACTATTACTTGTACATTATCTGTGGTAATACTTATCAAGCATTTGGCAATTATGATCAGTCTAAATAATAAAATATGAATCAAGCTATATTTTTTTTTTGCATAAACATAGGTACAGTTAAAAATTATAATGACATATATAATAATTTTCGTTTAATTTCGAAACAATTTATAATCTCATTTTCATTTTTAAATATTAAAAAAAGTATAATTTATTTGAACACCGCAGTAATATACAAGTGGTTAATGAATTCTTTTTCTTTTTTTCTTCAATCTTCACATTAAGCCATTTAATAATACTCATTATAATGGCCTAATATCATAAATGAAAATTTACACAAATCCAAGTTACTGTCATTACTACTTATGTTGGCAAAAGACTTTGTTTATACGAACTTTATAAAATGATTTATTAGCGATCCACCCAGCTTCGCAAGAATGCAAATGATACATACAAATCTTCTGTAAAATGAATCTAAATAATAATAAAACTTATATCAAAATCCATAAAAAGTTAATTGAAAAATAGACGTGGACAACGACTTTGTTTATACCATTCAAAGATAAAGATGTCAATGCACTCTGCAATATAATATGAGTAATATATTATTTCTAAGTGTTTCTATTATGTAGTGTATGTATTATTTTATAGTCTTGGTTCTTATCATGGCTACGAGCAGACGTTGAAAAGAGAGAACTTCATAATTCTATACATTTGTATTTCGAAAAAGTCACGTGAGTTGTAAAACGTTTTTATTCTGTTATGACATCAAATTGTTACAAATTCTTGCAGATCATCGGATGACATAAATGAGAGCGTCGCGTCTTAGTAATATAAATACCTACTAATCCGACTGAAGATGTTATGAATTCTAATCGATCGATACCAATTTGTGCGTAAATTTTAACCAACTTTACGATGATATCATTTCAGCCGCAAATTTTTTTTTATACAACTTAGAATGGCAAACAAGCTGACGTCCCACCTGATAGAAAAAGGTAACCGTCGTCTATAGACATGAACAGTACCATGGACATAACAGAGTATACTGTTTCGCTAATGATACCCCCCATGCGTTGCCATTCCTGTGGACTCAGGTGTTATTCCTCTGTACCCAATAAATTCACGCCATATCCCACCCTTCAAACCGAAACACAGCCATGCAAACACAACTGCTTCACGGTTGAAACACAAATGGGACAGAGGTACCCAAGCAATCGACTTTTGTAGCAAACTCTCACAATTATTAAAACGCCATACTAAACAGTCCAGAAATCCAGGGAAGTTGGTTACATTTGAATACAAAATAAAAAATATACGTGCCGAACTCCTCTTTTTTAGGGTTCCGTGCCTCAAAACGAAGAAACAGGACCCTTATAGTTTCACTCGTGCCCGTTTGTACGTCCATCTGCGTCAGTCAATTTGCCCCAAATTTACCGGACCAATTCAGTTAGAATTTGGTACATAAAATGTAAATCAGTGACACAAGGGCGGAAATATAAATTAGAAAAAAATTTTGCAAACTATATTGGGTGATATATGAAAATATATTTGAGATTGCGAATGTCTAAAATATATTTCTCTTATACTTTTAAATTAAACAGTTAAGAAGTTACTTGAGAAAATAGACAAAAATTGACCATTGCCCTCCCCCCATTTACCTGCAAAACTACTGGACCTTAAATTTTGAAAAACCAACGAAGTAGTTCTTTGCCGTCGATTATAGGAAACCTATAAAAAGTCTATAGTATTTAAAGTAATATAGGAAATTTCCTAATATTTGTGCGTATACATTTCATTTCCAGTTGTAATACAACCAAATTACTTCAAACATACTAACGTACTAACGTAACGTATCAACGTACGGAACCCTCTATACGTGAGTTTAATTCACACTTATTCGGTTTTTATTATTATTTTAAAGTCAGTTATAACTGCAGAGAAAGTGTAAACGTTCCGAAAATAAACTGTTATAAATTCCTTTTTATATGCTGTCAACTGTTAATTTCGCAGTATGCTTACAGTTACATTACTTTCATCTCGCGAGGTGTGAATAATGCCTCACATACCTACAAACTATTTTTATAACTGTCGTTAAGTTTTTAAAATGGAACAATTAATAAAAATAATACGTGTGTACCAATATCGAATACAATTTAAAAAAAAATAATAGGGTTAAGTAAAATAATATTAAAAAAAATGTGCTTCTTATTAATAAACACAAGAAACAACATTCAAGAATTTACAATTTTTAGAACCATAATACAAAGCGTCTTTTTAAAAAAAAAGTATTTTTTTACTTATTAATATTATATATATACGTTAACTATCCACTGCTGAACATAGGCCTCCTCCATAAAGGGAGTATTGTCAGTAGTTACCAAGCTTGGCAGGCGAGTTGGCAACTGCAGTTAGACTTTGGTGATGTTTTAAGAGCCTATATACTTTTGACACCCACCGTAAAAGAAGGGAATGGGGGATAGAAAGACAATAAAAGTACGCGTACAACAACACTTCGATTAATAGACGCGATAAATCACTCTGTGTATAGAGGCCGTAAAATGAAATCGTTGAAATCGTTATAATATAACAAAAAATAGCAAGCTAGCAAAATGACATTTAAAGTACGCGTTCACGCTGTAATGGTAAAGTCTAGCATTATGATGCGAAATGTAGGTAATAATCGCCATTAAGAATTTGCGCTTTTTTATAAACTGCATATAAAAGTTATGAATTGAATATTACATTAAAACTTTCAAAAAATAAAGCTATATAAAAAAAAAATAAAATAACTTTAACTTATATCTTTGTTCTAAGTCTTTGTGACTTGTTTGGTAAAAAAGATATTTTTATTTTATTCTTTATCCAGCCAGTGCATTTTAATCTCTTGTTCATAAAAACGTTAATCCTCTTATAAACATATGTTAGGTATTGACCTGTTTTGTCTCTTTCTTTTATGATAAATTCTCAATTTGAATGAAAGTGACAAAACAGTCTTATAGTTAAAATAGATTTATAGGAAGTTTTAGTTTCTGTTAATAAGGGTGTAATACTTTGTCACTGTCCGTCTCGACATAGAATTAGCCACATCTCCCTTTCCTGTGGATGTCGTAAGAGGCGACTAAAAGAACTTAATAGTAGAAGGATAGACAGCAGCGTCCCTCTTAAAATATCTCTAAAAGTCTGACTGCGGTTGCAAACCCGCTAGCCAAAACGGCAACTACTGCCTGGCAACTACTGGTAAAACTCCCTATATGAAGAGGCTGTTTATTCGGCAGTGGGCAATTAACGGTTGAAATGATAATGACTTTATCACTACAATTATGATATTAGTGACATGTACAAAAAATTTAATCCTGAACATTATTACTGCGCCGTGTGGTTCCGGCATAAAATAGGCCACCCATTCCTTTCCCGTGGGTGTCGTAAGAATCGACTAAGGGAAGGCGAGAGATAGCAGCAGGGGCCCTCTTAAAACATCAACTACCAGACCGCCTGCCAAGCCTAGCAATTACTGGGAAAAACCCCCAAGGGAAAAGTTCAGCGGTGGACAGTTGAAGGCTGATATGATGAATAGTCAACCACTGAATCCTAAAAGTATAACTTTATACAAAAAAAAAATGCTAAATAATTTATTACAGTTTTTTTTTTATGGGTGAAAATGAAATGGTAATCCCGCCCGCGCTAACGGGATACGCTGGCGGAGCACCAGTGAAGGGTGATAGATGAGAATGAAAACAGGCCAGTTAGCCCATCATGATGAATTCATCAGGAATTAACCATGATAGTTTCCAGGGGGAACCGCGAGGAGGTCGACCTGGTTGGTGGGTATATTACTAGCAATGGGGTTCTCAGTCTTCATTACTAACAATCCCTTCCCCCCCAATTTATTACAGTTATCTGTACACAATATTAAAGATAATTAATATCCAAAGTTTCCCATGAACTTATGTAACGCGCCATGCATGATGTGACGCTGGCTAAATAACATCGTGTGCTTAAAAGCAATTAAATTCATTCTCTCCGTATTTATGTTGAAATCTACCTATTGTAAAAACTGGACCGACCACTTTCGAGAGCGAATAAAAACTTATTATATATATTAACTCGTAGTGATGGATATTTAATTTTTTTTTTTGCAACTTTAATGACATACGAGCTGACTGCTCTCTTGATAGTATATGATAACCGTAATCTATAAACATGAATAGCAGTATCGGCATCAAATAATGCACTGTGACGTCCATACTACCTCTCGTGTGTGGCTAAATCTAAGGACTAATGTATTTTGCCTCCATACCCAGTCATTTCATTGCCCTTCATATATTTATTATTGTTTTTCCATCTTAAATTATTTTATTTTTTAAAATTAATCGCCATATGGTCCCGGCATAGAATCGGCCACCTCTTCCTTTCCCGTGGCTGTCGTAAGAGTCGACTAAGGGAAGGCGAGGGACGGGCAGTAGCGTCCCATTTAAACATCTCCAAAGCCGTTAGCAGCTGCCAATCCGCCTGCCAAGCGTGGCAATTACTGGCAAGACTTCCCATGTGGTAGGCTTATATTCAGCAATGGACAGTTAATGGCTGATATGACAATGATATGATGATTAAAATAAATAATAATAATAGCGCCTTCTTTTTCCGTGGGTGTCGTAAGAGGTGACTATAAAAACAATTATCAAGGGATGGACAGCAGTGTCTCTCTTTACATATCACCATGATCTGACTGTAATTGCCAATTCACCTGCCAAGGACGGCAACTAGTGGCAAAGCCCCTATTTTGGGGGAGGGCCAATTCAACCGTGATGACTTGAATGACTTATTTTAATATTAGAAATATGAATAAAGTAAATAGCGCCTAAAATTTGTTCTTATATTCAATCTATGATAAATGAACAAAACCATTTATACTACAATGGCATTAAAATGATTATGTAACATCGTTCATCTGAACTACTTTAATTACCTACCTGAGTAGGAAGTGTGTTAAGGTGAAGGCATGATAGGCACTTATATAAAAGTGCACACGTAATACGAAAAAAACAAGATTTAGTTGGAAAATTGCAAGTTGCGTAATTGTGTCAGTGGTTTCGGTTCATAACTTCAATATACATTTTTTATAATATACTATATTATACTAATTATATTCCACCGTTACAAACAAAAATCAATTAAAGAACACATTAATACGTTTTGTCCCTGAAATACATAAAACTGCATTTTGTTGTTTGTGCATTATATTATAATAAATAAAATGATCTCGCCACTGTTCACAATCGAAATCTTCAATTTTTTTGCAATTTGAATGGCAAAGAATCTAATGGAAAGTGGTATTCGTTGCCTATAGACATGAACGGTATCATGGATAACAGAGTTTAGTGTGTCACCTATAATATACCCTTCATGAATATTTATTTATTAATATTAACATTTTTATAACTTTTATAGACTCTTTCATCGACATAATTGGAAATAGAATGGCACCGAAGAAAATGTAGAAAGAAATATTAATAGATTCGCAAAGTCTACTTACCTACTCGCTTAGTAGAAATTTGCCGTGTAGAGTAATTAAATGGCACATATATTCTGTTTTCCAAATTTGTAATCAACTCGGTAGGAAGTTTATTAGCAGCGTGCACTTCATCCAAACACAACACATTGTCTTTAAGACACTGTTCACTAATCACTGTTGTAAACTCACGGCTCACTTCGGAATTAATTCCATCGTCTTCATGTAACACTTTAGATTCCTTATTTTCATAGACTAGTTCAGCTACACCCTTTAAATTATCTTGACATGATTTTTCCGCCTCCACCTGTACATTATACACTCCTGGCATCTTTTTGGCATCCAGAATAAAGTCGGCGCGTTCTCCGCGACCTAATGTAATCGAATTGACATTTTCAATGCCTATTCTATGGCCATCTAGAGCAATAAGTTCAAGAATGTGTTTATGTATACTAAATTTCACTGGACAACTTTTTGATCCTCCGCCATATACTAATCTAAAGCGGTATCTTTTACCGTATTCCACACTAAATTTAGCAATTGGTGCGTCTGGAGAGTCTGCCGTTTTTCCTTTTCCGTTTATAAGCAATGACTCTGCGTTGGGAATTCTTGACATCATTCCAGCTAAAGGTCCCATTGAATGTCCCCATTCTGCTATAAAGATAGTATGTTCTGTGGCATCGACGTCATATAATTTATGCAAGGGATTTAAACGAGGAGGCTTACGAACGATGAATGCTCCAGCAAGCCCATCCGCAGCATCTGCGGCTGAGTGCGCATGATACATATGCGTGCCTACTGCTGATGCACGGAATTTATATTGAAATGTAGTATAAGCCGGTTGAGGACACTGGGTTAGCATGGGAGCTCCATCCATAAATGGAGTCTCTTTCTGTGGTTGTCCCCGCCAGTGTATTGACAAAGCGTGAGCAGGTGCTCTGTGTACAACGTCCACAACTAAAATGTCATTTTCACAGACGTGTAGAGCTGGTGCAGGCAGAACTCTATTCGCGGATAAAACTCCACGTTCTCTGCCATCAGCAGATATGCACATAGATGGACATTCTTCACCACCCTTTTCGGTACAAGTGCCGCAGGATCTGTCATAATAAATTATACAATATTAAATTCATTTAAAATACTATTATTTTTATATAAAACAGTTGTTATAATGAACATGTCACTTACTTGCTGAGAGTTTTGTAGACCTCAATAACTAGTTTTACACGGCATATCATGGGCCAATCCAACTCATTGCATTCTCTGTTGCAATTCTCAAAATATTCATCTGCAAAATAAATAATGACCATTATTTTTTTAAACAATTTATTAGATATTAACATGTCTTCACGTACATGTAACTACCATGAAAACCTTACGAGGCCGATAACCGAAACCTTAGATAACCAAAATATCTATTTTCAACTATTTTTTTTTACTATTATCAAGACTATTTTAATTTTAATCTTTACAGATATTACATTACTATTAGAAATCTTGACCACAATTACAACAAGAAAATCAATTAGTTTTAATGAAACTACGTAATAACTTATTCGTTATGTTCGCCATTTTATAGGGATACTTAGAGAGAGAGAGAGAGTAAAAATAAGTAATATTATAAAATTATATGATATGTAAATATACCTTCCTATTTTGTAAAAGATATACATACATCTAGACAGTATATATAATTGTATGTAATTTGTAAGTTGAAAAGAAAATATTGAGACACACATACCCGGCATTGGCGTATAATAAATTACAACAATAACACTGATAAGTACAAAAGACAACACCAAAATCCTTTGCAGGGACATTAGCGTGTAATTTGGCTTCTTATGTGGCACACTGCTTGCTTCAATCGTGCTCTTCTCTGTCTCCATTTTGGTTTTATAGCACCGATTTGTTTTTCTATTTACTTCAATAACATTACATGTTTACGAGCGATAGTGTATAGAGTGAATGTACCGTACAATCACTTGGTTGGGAAAAAGGCGACCACGCGAGTCGACCATCAGCTGGCGACTGTTTGGCAAGTGGAGCTGGTTATGGCGCTTCGTTGCACCATACGCTGCACCTTTGCCTCGTGCTACAGACAAGGGGCCGATATTCGGAAGCAAATTGACGACTGACTAGTTTAAGCGCTCTCTCTGAGCCTGTTCGTCGTTACGCAACTATAAATTGTATAACAGATGTATTAAAGCTATCTTCTTATATAAAAGTAGCCATTTCCGCTGCTACGCTCATGTGGAATCCATTATCTGTCATTCCCATAGGGACTTCCAAAAACCCTTTCTTAGTGAATGTTTACATCCCACGAGGAATTTATCTACCTATCAACTTCATAGGTTAAATAATCGTTGGAGATTTTGAGTTAAGTAATATTAATTAATTATTCACTGAGTGAATGGGAAGTATTTTCGCTTTTTTATTTAATTTTAAATTATTAAATTCTTATGTAACGGATAAGTATCTAGATACAAAAAGATAAATTAATAAAATATTTAAAATGTGTAAAATACAAACTGTTCACGACGGTTTCGCTCGCACAAAGGGCGTTAACTTCTGTTCTCATGAAAATTTTGGAATATTTTCAAGCAACTAGGACAAAATCTGCAGAATAAAATTAGCATTCAGAGACATGAGTAATGAACGTATAATGAAAAGATAATAAAAGAAGTGTAGGTACACTTAATGTGACATTAGAAGTATGCAAATACGGTAAGATACATAGACTTAACTACAATCATAATAAAATGAAATAGTAACCAAGCTGCCGGTGGCAACTTGGCCTGCTGTTTTTTTTTATATTTTGTATTTATTTATATAAAATATAATTTCTAAAACAGTATACTCTGTTATGTCCATGGTACTGCTCATGTCTATAGGCGACGATAACCACTTTCCATCAGATGGGCCGACAGCTTGTTTGCCATTCTAAGTTGCATAAAATATTTGATATTTTTTCACACATTCTTTCGTTACTAAATACATAATTTACGAAGTCATCTTTATTAATGGTTTCCTATTCAAACCTTTACTACTAGAGCACAGTGGCAAAACCCCAGTGAAAGAAAATAGATGAAAATGAAGCTGGTCCTTCGAAGCGAATCGTGAATCAACCACGATATTTTTGTTGTATATGATACTAAGTCGTTGGTAACAATGTATTTTTACAAACATGATTCGTTTATGGTATCTCTACTCCTCTACTTAAGTCCCTTTCTTAGCAAATCTGTGCTTAAAATTTCGTATTCCGACATTTAATTTGAGCTTTTGTGTTAAATATGATTCAGTTTATCAAATAAAAATAAATATTACAGTTCACTTCATAATTTAAGGAATACATTAAAAGCTCCTAACTATTATTATTAAATATCTTATACATATATTATATACGGTTCGTGGGCTCTACGGTCAAAAAATAATCGTACCCCTGGGAAATAACTTGTGGAACGACGGTTCTGAAGTGAAATTTTTAGATAACTTTAGAATATTAGATGAATATAACGGGTACTGCCATTCCTTTTTTTAACGTTCGTATTATAGTAACTCTATGAATTTGTATACAGCTGATTGTTTATTGTCACAAATTTATTTCTACAGAAAAACAAACATATAATAATACCTTAGATTATACATAATACATTCTAAATGAGAAAGAAAAATCACAGAAACACCTAATGATTTTAAATTTGTTTATATTTTCATTGAGTTCTATCAAAACAGACTAGACTTAAATCTCTTATGGAATAAATTATAACCCTATCTAAATAATATAGAATGTTATATAAATGTGAAAGTTCATTTGTAAAGTATGGATTATTGTTTGGATTATTATTTAATCACGTTCATGAGTCCAAAAATTACACAGCAAAGAAGTAAACAAAAATTTGTTGTATAATATATAAATGAATTTCTTTCATTTAATACCCCATTTAGACTAGATATATTGAAATGTTTAGTACCCCTTTCGGCCCCAGAAAATATAAAATTAATCATCATTTGTGCTGTTAAGTGTCCACTGCTGAACATAAGCCTTCCCCATAAGGGGAGTTTAGCCAGTAGTTGCTACGATTGGCAGGCGGGTTGGAAACCACAGTTAGACTTTTAGTGACGTTTTAAGAGGGGCGCTGCTGCCTATCCCTCTACCATTAAATTGCCTTAGTCGCCTCTTACGACACCCACAGGAAAGAAAGGGGTGGCCTATTCTATTCCGGGACCACAGAGTACATAATATTTATAATTTATATAAATTTAATAAAGTTATATAAATTATTTCCCATTCAGTATATGTATAGGAATGAAGAATATACTAAATTTATAATCTAAGATAAAACTATTCAAAATTTCAAATCGATACCTTTAGTAGTTGCTCAGATGTAGCCCTGTGACAGATGGACGAACAGACTGACAAAGTCACACTTTAAAGGTTCCTTTGTACCTTTTTAATACATAATCCTAAAAAGATTATACTTAAATAAATTCATAAGCTATATATCTCAATAACTATCCTATAATTGATAAAGAAACAAAAGATAAGTGCTCACATTAGTATATCTACATCTAAATAATTGATACAATTTGGAAGATACGTATGTAGGTATAAAATAAACAAACATTTCGTGACTACTGAATGTCTTTCACGGCAACAGGCAACGAAAATTAATGTTAGTTACACCAACACCTTCTGTGATAAATATACCTATCGCTATGATAAGGATCTTGATCAATGTTTACATTCTATTTAAAGCTTTGTAATCTCGAATTTTTATACGTAGGTTTCTAGGGAGGTACCACCCTAATTCTTACTTTCATTAGATATAATGCTTTGCCGCCTGCTTTAGTATATAAAGTACTCTATGTGGTATGTTAGTATATGTACTCGTATACCAAATTTCCTTCAAATCAGTTCAGCTGTTTAAGCATGAATGAATAATAAACATCTTTACAAAATTTCACATTTATTATAGTAGTAGCATGAACATGAATATTTGTTTTTAACTCATTGAAATTTAGCTTTTAATAGGATAAAAATGGAATGCTAATCCCGCCTATATGTACTATTGGTACACCAAGGGGGTACCGTTGAAGGATGATGAATGACAATGAAGTCAGGTCAGTCGTTCTATCGTGTTTAATTCACCAAGGTTTAACCAAGATGATTTCCAGGACGAACCACGTGGAGGTCGACCTGATATGAACTGTGATGCCCATTACTAGCAATCCCTCCCCTCTGGTACCTTATATCGTTAACCAGTAATCATGGGGGGAAAGGGATTGTTAGTAATGGGGTCTAATGAACCCATTGCTAGCAATATACTCTATCAGGTCGACTTTCACGTGGTTCCCCCTGGAAACCATCGTGAACAATTCTTGTTGAATTCATCACGATGGGCTGACCTGCTTCATCCTGACCTGTCATCCCTCACTGGTACCCGCCAGCGTATACCGATAGCGCGGACGGGTTACCATTCCATTTTCACCCATTAAAAAAAAACAGTTATTATGAAATTTAAACAGAACTTGGAATGGAGAAAAACATAAGCTACTTTTTATATGAACATGTTCGCGGGTGAAAATTAATAAAATTAAACCAATACTAAAAGACTGCATTTTATTGTAAAACTCTTCATAAGGTAGTAGGTATTTTGTGATTTCTATCGAATTGGTATAATAACAAAACATGGAATGAAGTCGTTACGCTATCATTTCGTAGTCACGAATTCAACATTACCAAAAACGATTCCAAATTGGTAAATTTCTTAAATTTTTACAATCAAAATTTTGTAATGGATAAGAATAGAATGGTAAACCCCGCCTGCACTAACGATATATCCTAGCGGGCCACCAATGAGGCATGATAGGTGAGAATAAAAAGGCAGGGCAGTACGTCGTGATGAGTTCACCTAGAATTCAGCACGATAGGGCCAGGGGACCAGTTTGAGGTCGACCTGACAGGGTATATTACTAACAATGGGACTGGTAGTCAATATTACTAACAATCCCTTCCCCCTCCCCTAAATCTTTATTATGTCTAAAGATTTTTTTATAATAATAATCATCTTGATTCAAGTAACCTTAATAATAAGCCACTTTGAATTTCTTATAATTCTGCCGCCCATTCAAAATGTAATTTGCATAGACTTAGTATAACGTTCTAGCAATTTCAGCCGAGAAGAACGAACATGAAACTTAACTGTTGCTATTTCAAGAAAAGTTGATTTTACAATTCTAAAATTATGTCAATATAAATCAGTACAAGAATTATTTAAATTATTAGATAAATCAGGTCCATTATTATCTTCCCATCAAGTAAGCCGCAGCTCCTATATAATTTAAAATAGCATAAATGTCGGTGCTATATTAAAATTCGTTCAAAATTTGACAGGCATCAAATTGCCTAAATAGAAATGAGCAAATGAGGTAATAAAAAAGTTATATGTTTAAAAATAAATATCGTTTCAATTATTTTTTTCCAAAACATTTTTAGGACCCGATATTTAAAAAAATTAATGGGTTAAATTAGTCTCTGAATGAAAAACATCACATCATTTTATCAACTGATTATCCATAAATAAATCATCACTATATATTTATGACTAAAGAGGAATTTTACATGCCAAATTCCAAATATATAATATAAAATAATTGCCCATTATTATTTTCTTAGTTCCGTTTTCCCTTTCAATAGGGAAAAATTATCATTTTGATAGACTATCGACTGTCTTTAGTGTCATTTAACAAATGACATTTACACAGAGTAAGTAATAAAGAATAAGTAGTAACTTAATACTAAGATTTATAGCCATGCTCTTTGTCTATACAATTTGTGACGAATATTAAAACAAAACAACAACAACTCACTACGCTACTTAAGTATCGCCACTACCCTTATATTAAAAAATAAACTTTAAAATTAATCTATGCAACCTTTTAAAAATTTCAACAAAATAAAATAAATATAATAATTACTTACTTGTAAATAGTTATAACATATCTCTATCTAAAATATATATCATAAAATGTACGATGCCACTGCCCCCGAAGGTTGAAAAGGGTAGTCACTTGCACCAGGCCACTAGTACGCTAGGATGTAAATTTATCTTTCCTAGAACGACACCCTGTATTCAGCAAGTGGTCCTCAGTCGGCGTGAGCACCAACTGTAGCGATGACACGGTGTACACGATGAATGCGGCGAACACGATGTTTATGATGAACACAACGACTCTGATAAAGATGAGCGAAGAATGACTTGAACACGAAAGCTGAAGAGAGGTGATGGTAAACGGATGCGATGAATATAAACTAATAATATATATATATAGATAAATAGTGAGGCAGGAGTATTAGTTTCAGTACTAGCTCAACGAGCTCTATATTTATAGTGGCCTACCACGACTGACCTGTGAATCTCTGGCAAACTAGTAACCTCAACTCCCCTATGTCAAACTGTTTATTTTACAATTCTATCAAAAACTGTGGTGCTTACGGTTATAAGTAGGGCTACTTACAATATGCATTAGACATACATTTGGCGTGAATTTACTGGGTACAGAGGAATAACACCTGAGTCCTCAGGAATGGCAACGCATGGAGGGTATCATGGGCGAAACAGTATACTCTGTTATGTACATGGTACTGCTCATGTCTATAGGCGACGGTTACCACTTTCCATCAGGTGGGCCCTCAGCTTGTTTGCCATTCTAAGTTATATAAAAAAAAACATATGGTGCATTGCGCGGCAAGCGGTATGTAAATATTCGTTGTAGCTAAAAATTCCGCGCAGCGCATATTACAACAGTAGTCTATCAATTCCTATAAAACTGTGTATGCCTATGCTCTCTTACGATCTATAACATTTAGATCTCTATTATGACCTAATTTCGAACTGTTTCTGTTTTGTCTATTTTCTATTTTACTATACTGTTAGTATGCTATTTTCTGTTTACCATTAATCTATTGACACAAAGAACACTGTAAAACTATAACTATACCCATACCTATTTTCTATGGATTTTTCTGTAGTAAAAAAAATTATTTTTTAAACTTATAACTATTTTATATTAATTTCTGTACTATAACTCTATACAATTCAATATAAACTATCTATTAATAATCATTCCAATACTCTTCTGTACTGTTTTAACCATAAAAACACACTATAATTTTTTTCATATACAATCGAACGGAACACAGGATAGCAACTTATATTATCACTAGGCAAATTAGCGCGCTGACAAATCACGATCACTATTATTTCACTACTTTTCTTATACGATTTGCTGTCATTGTCTATCATTACTGTACTGTTCTAACATTATACTATAACATTTCACTGAACTATATACTTCATAAATATTTTTTCTAGCGATAAACAAAAATCTGTAACATAAAAGATTTAATTACTTTATATTGTAACTTTTCAAAATCAATGGAATTAAACAAAAAAAGTATGCACGAAAACTATGTAGATTTCATACTTTTTTTGTACGAAGTGATAATGCTCTGTTCTTGTCATAATGACATTTGTAGTTTCTTTAATCTGTGGTAATTTGTTTTGTGCACTTGTGACTTGCCAGTCGAACTTTTGGAATTTGTGCTGTTATAAGTTAAGAATTAAATATTATATTTATTTTGACTCTTATTTAAATTTTTATAATTTAAAATTGATAATGGAAATAACGAAAAAAAACTTTTTAGAACAACTAGACAACATAAACCAAGATTTAAAACGTTCATGTTTTGTTGGTTTTGATGCTGAATTTACAGCTATTTTAACAGGAGACAAATTTAGACATAGGTAATTAAATACTATTTTAATTTCTAATTTTATATAATTGTAATAATATTAGTATGTACTGATGAAAAGGTTGCCTGGAAGAGATCACTTTAAGCGATAAGGCCGCCTATTGTTTTCTCAGTGTAAACATTTATAGAAATTGTTTGTATATATTTATAATAAGTTTACAAATGTAATCTTTTGGAGGAAACAACAAAGAGTATCTATCTATTTACTGAAACAAGATATATGTGTGTGATTAAATCTAACTTCTATAATACATACACTGGCGGTCAAAAGTTTGAGACCACTATAAAACTATAAGAAAACAAATAAAAGTCAACATATTTAAAACTTTATGAAAAACAGATTTTATTTTAATATTACACATAATATACATGAATACATGAAGTCTTGATGAATACAATATTCTAAAGAAAACACACACAGAGTTTAGAGAGATTTTTATCAATATATTCTTTGTATTTTATGACCCGTTTTAACAATCTTGGCATGCAAGCAATTAATTTGTTGATAGTTTCTTGTGAGATATTTCTCCAGCTTTCTTCTAATGCATTCCACTTGGCCTGCTGTGAATTAGGACATTCTTCTCACACATTTAAATCAAGCTTTTCCCACAAAAGCTCTATAGGGTTAAAATTATGGCTTTGAGATGGCCATGTCATGTTTTTTAACACTTTTTCCGACTGCTTTTTGTCTAAATAATCCCTATATAATTTTGCACTATGTAATAATAAATTTGAAAAGTGTAATTTATAATTTTGAAATAAATCCTTGGCCAATTAACTTTAGTATGGAGGGAATAGCATTTTTCTCCAAAATTAATTTGTAATGCTCCCTTTTCATAATTTCTTTAACTTGGAACAGATTTCCAGTCCCATAACCTGAGAAACAACTCCAGACCATAACAGATCCGCTGCCATGCTTGATAGTTGAGACTACACACTGTAGCATCATCTTTTCTTTGGCAGAACATTAAATGAAAATTCTTCTTTTTGAACCGAATATTGCAAATTTAGAGACGTCACTCCATAGCATTTCTTAAAAATCTTCTGACCAGTCTCAATGGGCTAGAGCCCATTGCAACCATTTTTTCATATTCCTCCTGAGATTTGTTAACTTCAACAGGAATTTTTGGGGCTGTTGTCTATTTTACTTACTGGTTACCACAATAAAATTATCTTCAGAAGAAGTTACATACTCTTGGTCTCTCGGAGCGCGGACAATGATTACTGCTAGTTTGTTTATACCATACAATAGTGATGAACACAAGTCTTTGATAATTTAACTCGAGATGCAATGTCACGTTCAGATTTGCCTTCATTATGAAGAACAACAATAGCAGCTCGCGTTTCAACACTAATTTCGCGAATTTTTCCCATTTTAGTAATGTCTTGACTGTAGGAATCACAAAATTAAACTAACTGCGTATATTCGTAGATAACCTTAAAAATGCCGAGTTGAAATAAACATTTTAAATAATTCAAAGAATTTAGAGCAATTGCAAAAGTTGATGTAAAATAAAAAAGTGTCAGTTGCGGTAATGCAGTAATAAAATTTTTACAGTCGATTGTCGAACTAGCTCTTCCTCAGCTCACATTGGAAAGTTTGGAAACAATGTTTATTTATTGCCCCTTTTTTTTAGCTTATGTACAAAAGAATAAGTTTTTAGACAATCTTTATAAACATTAGAATATGCAGGTGTGCAGATAACTTTTACCAATATTTTGAAAATATTTACTAAAAAATAAAAGTTTTTTATTCGCGGTCTCTTTTTTGAGGAGCAGTGGGGCAGTGTACATACATACAAATATCTAAGATTTGTAATTAGGTTACAGGATTTTTTTGTGGTTTATTGTTAAGTACCATAAAACAGAATTAAAACACGAGGTTTTAAAGGAGAAATGAGAGTGAATAGAAAATAACTCCCTCCCCGTTGGTGTTATACTAGTATATACCAATAGTTGTGATACCATTCCATTTTAATTCTTAAAAAAATTATACATTTTTAAATTATCATTCTTGTTTCTATAACATGATAATTATCTCACTAGAATACCGATATTAAACAACATATTTTAGTTGAAACAAGTTAATAGTCATCTAGTAATATTAATGCATTCATGTATTTAATGTTTTCAGATTATTTGACACTAATGAAGAACGATATAATAATATAAAAAATGAAGTTGGTAAAATGATAATGACTCAAATTGGACTGACTATGTTCCAATATGAACGAGATCTGGATATGTATGTAGCAGTTGGCTACACATTCCATCTTTGTCCCCAAATGTTTGGTAATGTACATCAGTCATTTGTCTTCCAAGCATCCACATTGAAGTTCTTATGTAAACACAAATTTGATTTTAATAAGGTAAATAACAACTTTTTATATATATAATATTTTTATATAAAATTATAAAAATCCTAATTTTACTTTGAACTCTTTAAAAATATTTAATATACAATGAAGGACTTATCTCATAGAGACCTCTTAAGGTCAACCTTTGATAAGGTGAAAAAAAAAGTATAGAATGTTCAAGAGTAAAAAATGTAACAAACTCTAACAATAACAACTTATAAATATTAATAATAACTTGTTAAAATTAAACATAATGTTCCATACTTACATTACAATAATAAGTATTTAAATACATACATATATATATATATGTATTTAAATACATACATTTACAAAGAGCTCAATTATAAAAGTTTCAGAATAAAATTGTATGATATATACTTATATTATATATATGATACAAACTTTATAGTACATTAATAATTGTCCATCTACAAGTTATTGAGAGGTGCAATGTACAATAAATGACTTGCCATAACTTTGAATATTAAAGCAAAGCAAATCCATAATCAAGTCATTATTGCATCTCGGGGAAAAAATAAATAAATTAGTAAATGTTATAAAAGAAGAAATAAAAATAATGCACACATTCAGCCAGTATCACTTTGTAAAATGATACATAAAATTACATTAATTACAATTTAAAAATTCATTCAAATAAATTTACAAAGATATTTAGTGCAATCATCCTGAAATACATCAATTTGGCTGTGAAGAGGTTGTTAGTAATGCAGACTACCAGTCCCATTGTGAGCAATATACATTCTCAGGTTGACCTCCATATGGTCCTCCTTGGAAACCCTTGTGCTAAATTCTATGTGTATTCATCATGATGGACTAACTGAGCTGCCTTTTCATATTTACCTGTCATCCCTTACTTTGTTCAAACCTTTTCAACCTGTTCTAATTTATATTCATTTAAATAACAAAATCTAATTTATATTTGTTTTACTTATAATTTTCAGTTTACTTATGAAGGACTTCCATATTTGAGTAAAGCTGAAGAAATGTCTATTCGCCAGCAACTGAAAGATAAAATACTATTTAACAACTTAACTCGAGCATTAGAATTAGATGAGGAAAAGGAAGTACAACAGTACTGTTCAGAAGTGGCTAAGTATGTGCTTTCATTGTGCTTAATATTTGCTAATAAAATCACTAGATTGAACATTCTCAAACAAAAATATGACAGGAGTCAAATTTGTTATTTAATATATTCTCATGACCCTTTAAATTTAATTACTTATTGAAAAATGTAGCAAAGATATGAGATAGCAGAATATAAAACAGGTTGTCAGCTTGTGTGCTACTGCAAGTTACATAAAAATTATCAAACAGAAACTCACTTTGGGTTTATTCATCATTGTCCAAATACATATTTTTGTAAATATAAATATGATGACTTTACAATTTTTATGTAGATATATTCTATTACAAACATTTGCAGGTACTTCATTTAATATTTGTGGTAACATATATTGCCAGGTGCATTTCTCATATACACTATTAAATTCAGAATCATTCAAAATAAAAGCAGAATATATTAGAACAAAACATATTTTTTTTTTCATACAACTTAGAATATTAAACAAGCCGATGGCCCACCTGATGGAAAGTGGTAACCGTCGCCTATAGACATGAGCAGTACCATGGACATAACAGAGTATATTGTTTCACCCATGATATCCCCCATGCGTTGCCATTCCTGAGGACTCAGGTGTTATTGTGTGTTCCTCTGTACCCAGTAAATTCACGCCATATCCCTTCAAACTGAAACACAGCCATGCAAAATATATGAGGGCCTACTTCCAAAATCCATGCATATGAAGTTGAAGTTTAGTTGTCAATAAATTATATTTTACTCTGCTAGCGGAGATGTAGTATTGTAACAGTGGAGAAAGGAACTTCAACATAAGTTAGATGGTAACGCGCGTTGCCTACACGTACTCGATTTCTTGCTAGGAAATGAGCAGTATATAAAAAAAAAAAACAAGAATTATAATCCATTGAGATTATCTTTTCTCATTTCAGATGGCTCATCAATAGTAGTGAAGAAACAATGTACCTAGATGTCCAAAATCCAGTTCTGAGGTATATAGTTCACAATGAACTGAGGATACGGTTCCCAGATGTTCTTACTACCGATAGTTTAGGTAATAGTAATAAGGTAATTTGGCGATGCTGGAACACTTGCTAAGCTTTTTGTTTTAATTTTTTATTATCTGATTTTTAATAGATGCAACACCATATTTTATAAGACTACAAACTATCTTCATTATTTTATTCATGAAATTCTTACAAAGATTTAAACTTATACAATTATCAAAACATTCCAATCCATATATAAACAATAAAATTGTGTTAATAATCTATAGAAACCAGATTTTTAATAATACTCATGTCACACGATAAACAATATTGTAATAACTTGAGGTGGTTGAAATTTAAACTGAAAAAACATTTCTCAGTATAAGTACAAGTATTTATTATTATTATATATTATTAAATACCGTAATTTTATTTATTATTGATTTTCATCTTATTGATTATATAATATTATAGTAATTATTGCATAATTAAAAAAAAATTGATACAAACTAGAATTTAACCCACTTTCTACAACCTGAGCAGTACAACTGTCTTACCTACCTGAGCTACCATTTCACTAGACACTAGTATTTTATTTCATTCTTATATGTATAAGACATATTTTTTGTTTCAGATTTTGATATACAGAGATAAAAACGTAGTATCTGCCACTAGTGCACCTATGGATGCATTAGAAGAAAATTTACTAAACCACCTATTAGGATTCTCACAAATTATTTACTTGCTGGAAAGTTATCAGAAGCCCATCATTGGGCATAATATATTTATGGATGTAATGCTCCTTCACAGCCAGTTCATAGGTCCACTACCTAAGAAGTACTCGGTATTTAAAAAAAACATTAACACAATGTTCCCTGTTATTTTTGATACGAAGTATATATCATATGAAATGGGATGGATGTTAACTTTCGATGAAGTCTGGAAATCGAATGCACTGCAAGAGTAAGGTTACTTTCTGAGAAATTTATCAATATTCATTTCCATTTTTATTTAATTATCAATGTTTTTTTTTTTTTAAATAAAAAAATTCAATCTTTTAATAATATATTTTTGTTTATTAATCTTTCAAGTAGATTATTGTTAAAATATTTTATTTACAGTCTATACGAGTTCTTTGCCCAAGGAAAATGTAAAAAGCTGGAGAATGGAGTTAACCTTATACGTCTGAGCACGCCGTTTAGTGAAAAGCAGTCTTTCCACGAAGCTGGTTGGGACTCTTACTGTTCAGGTAATTTTATTGTTAAAACTGTAACATAATTAAAATACCCAGTATCTACTGCACACATGTTAACACAAATAAATTTATCTAATCATGTCAATTAAGACATTATTCATTACAGTCAAACATGTTTTTACAGTTGTTTAATTATTCTAGACTATCCGTTTTCCACGTATTTGGTCGCGTGCATATAAGATATCCTATGCGTTAAATGGAACCTACCTATGTACCAAATTTTATGTAAATTTATTTAGTAGTTTTTTCGTGAAAGTATAACGTACCTCCAACTATCCTTACAAAATAGTAGAAATATATATTAATATTTTCAGTAATGGGGACTAACAGCCCCATTTTTATCAATACACCCTACCAGGTCGAACTCCACGTGGTTCCCCCTGAAAACCATAGTGGAGTAATTTTTGTTTGAAAGTGAAGTCGTTAGTATCCTACCAGGAGTTCTACCAACGAAATTGAACATTGTCATCAAAGAAATAGGTCAAGAAACCACCAAGCATTTGAGCCTCCCGTATAAAAACGGCGCGTTTAGTTTCTCGAAATTTACTAATAAACAAAATACTCAGTTTTACCTATCCTATGTACAATATAACTAATTTGGGAGAAGGGATTGTTAATAATGGGCGTTAGTAGCCCCATTGTTAGCAATATACCCTATCAGGTCGACCTCCACGTGGTTCCCCCTGGAAACCATCGTGATTGATTTATTGTTAGATTCGTCACAGTAGGCTAACTGACCTGCTTCATCCTCACCTATCATCCCTCACTGGTGTCCCGTCAGTGTATACTGATAGCACAAGCGGGGTTACTATTCCATTATCATCCAAAAAAAATATAATATAACTAATTATATTTGATAATATTATTTATTTATATATTATATACTAAGACTGTATTCCACAAAAAAAACTGACTTCAATTGTGGTAAAATTGTTTTGATTTAAAATCTAAAGTACTAAAAAGACCAATCTGAAAGCATCTTTCATATAAAAAAGATTTTTTCCAAAATGGTTTACAACTGACAAAGTTATTAAGTAACAAACATAAGAAAAATACAACCGAATTGGAAACCTCCTATTTTACGTCGGTTCAAATTGTAACTATACTATGTCTGGACATGAGAAATATTTAAAAATAATAACATGAGGGGCCTTAATAAAACTAATAAATGTCGGAAAAATAAAATATGTTTCTCCCTGCATCACGCAAAAACAACTACAGAAATTTGGAAGCAGTTTTCACAGTTGTGTTTCTAAAAATCTAACTTAAAATCTGGTGTGTTTTAACTTTATATTATATCTAGTAATGATACATTTCATTAGTTTTCGTCTGTAATCCAGACGTACGAAATAGCAGGCACAAAGCTAGTATGTAATATTATAGTAACATAATTAAATTTGTGTAAATGACATGGGCAGGTTACTGCTTCATCCGGATGGGCCACTGGGCGGCGTGCGAGATCAGCGGCAAGTACAGGCCGGTCGGGCCTCGGGAGAAGCTCGCCGCGCTGGCGTCCTACTGCAACAAAGTGAACGTCATACGAGGCGCCGTGCCTTATATGGTAATTTTCATTTGAAAATTTCCTAGAATATTCTAAATTATTTACTTTAATTAGTCAACTAAGCACATATCTATTTATCAAATTATTTGGTATTAATCATAAACACATTAAATAAGTCAAATCAGGAATTTTTTTTTTTTGCAATTTTGAATGGCAAATAGCCTGCTTGCTTGGAGAAAAGTAGAAATCTTCGCCTATAGACATGAACATAAACTATAGGTATTCAAGCGGAGACCGGGTGGGCATTACTCACCCCTAAATTACCTGGTGCCCATCTTAGTACCGCTTAGGCTGAGTAGGTGACTTCAGACCGTTCTTTAAGGCAGTCTGAGTGAAGCTTATGTTCAGCGGTGGACGGATAATGACTGAGATGATGTTGATGAATCATAAATACGCCGATACCATGGACAGAATACACTGTGACTTCTATGGTACCCTATATATGTTGTCATTTCTGGAAACTGTAATTTTACTGGCATACCCTTTAAATCGAAGCACAGCTGCTACATAGTAGAAATTACAGCGCTATAGACATCCGTGCAAACGACTTTTATACTGGTTTTGAACATTTGTTATTTTTTTTAATGGGTGAAAATGGAATGGTAACTCCGCCCGCGCTATCGGTATACACCGACGAGGCACCAGTGGAAGGTGATAAGTGAGAATGAATGCAGATCATTTGACTCACCATGATGAATTCGACAAGATTTAACTATGATGGTTTCCAGGGGGAACCGGGTGAAGGTCGATCTTAGAGAGTATATTGCTAACAATTAGGCTATTAGACCTCATTACTGATAACCCCTTTCCCCCGAACATTGATTTTTAGATGGCACTAAAACAATATTAATTTTACTATACTTTGTTATAACTCGCCACTAGATGGCGTTACAGCACATCTACAAATTCTGTACCGGTCAATTATATGCCGTTAGAGTTTACTATTATTACATTACTATTAGAGCCCAAAGAAGTATGTTTCCACTTTCCATTGTTATTACTCACCATTCAGTATCGCCGGAGTACATAATACACATCATTGCCTTTACCCATAGCCAGGGAGTCGGTGGATGCAGGTGGCTCAGGACCGTCCTTTATGACCTTAGGCCTATGTCCAGCAGTGGACAGATAATGGCTGAAATGGTGATAATGATAATTTACGTAATTTTTTTATAAACATATATTTATAAATATAAATATACAAAAGCAACTGAACAACATCTGCCGCCAAATTCATTAAAATATTATAAAATAAGAAATTTTACTTTGTATTACATTTTCAGAATTTAGCTGGAGAAGACCCACCACGCCACCGGCCTAATTTACTACACGTCAAATCAATGAAAGAGAGCACTATCGACGTGGGAAAGGCAAGTATTATATATTTTTCATTGTTTTGTTCATTTTATTATATTATTTTTTTACAATATAATTGTAATGAATTGTAAATATATATATATATACGTAGTTATTTTTGTACTACTGCAAAACAGCGTCACGGGATAGCGAAATAAACATATTGTCTGCTTTATTTTTAAACAACTAAATTCATTACAAACACGCCAAGATATTTTTATTAATTGTAACAAATATATATAAAAAAATAAGCAGATGGTCTTATTACTTTATAGGCTTTGTGAATGACTTCCTTATTCATAAAAATGTCAAACGTCTGTTTTGCACTAAATACTCAATCAAAGGAATGTGCCAAAACACTAATAATTAAAAAAGTTTGTAGAAGTATTTATGAATAAGATTGTAAGTTTTCTGTATTGAGATTTCTTTCAGGATCGGCAAATGCCCCTAGTATTGCAGGTTTTTATATGCTATGGTAACCGTTTACTATCAAGTGGGCCGTATGCTTATTTGCCACCTCCCTAGAATATAGTCTATGAAATTGTTGTAATTTTTTTCAACTACTTTATTACGTAGGTATTAACGAAAATTTCTTTGAGTTTACTCCAGCCAAACCGGTTGTTCTAAAAAAATTTGTGCTCCGAATCTGACAACGTTTGTTCGGTGTCAAATTAGTATTTATATATTTGCGTCACAGTTTCGTGCACCTAATGTACTAAATATACGAATCGTACCAAAAGCCGGGACCAGTTCAGTTCAGAACCGCACCAATTTGAAGCACTCCATAATTCGTCCATACAAATACTATTCTACTCTTTTGTTGGAAAGTGCATTGTGTATTTATTGCTACTATTTGCTACTTTATGCCATAATCTAGAAATAAATAGATAAGACGATAGTACCTATTCCAGAGTAACAGAATTTTATTCCATATTAACCACTTATATCTAGGTATTGTATAAACACTTGGACAAATTAAACTAAGAGCCTACGTAAACAACGAGCTTATGTCATTCATGGAGGACAAAAATGTCCGTTGTATACGCCAAGGACAAACCACAAACTGCTACGTTTTGAAACACAGTTTTAAGTTTCATCAAAATGAACAAAAAATACTCTCAGGACCATCCCTCTTTTTTGCAAGTAAAAAAAGAAAAAACTATAAAATAAATATTTTGCCATTAAATTAAAGAATATCTTTTAAACAATTTAGTGTATATTAAACTCTTATGATTAAGAAAATGTTATCTCAGATCACGAGCATATTGAAAAGTATTCCGCAAAAAAATTAAAGACGTTCTAATTTTAAAATCGCTAATGAGTAATGGGCGATTGCCAGACGGAGAAAGTCTGAAATTTGATATTTGAATATTGTGAAAAATAGCATATTCGTTTGCATGCTATCGATGCATCGAACCTAGAACATTGAATACAGAGCCGTAATTTATAGGCCGGTTTACCTACGACAATGGTGTTATGTGTTAAAAGTAAACCATATCGACTAATCACAATTCAATCAATCACAGAGATTGAAAATTTATGTGTTTCATATCATATTTAGTCTTATATCCTTTGTGTATTACCTAGTTCCATTATATACTGAAAGACCTGTTTCTTCTAACTAGAGCATCAATCGAGATATCTCCGTATATTATATTAAATTCATTTTTTTAAATAATACATTTGTCAAAATATAACAATCTAAATATAACAAGAATTAACTTCATAACAGAGATCCCAGACAGACATTTTTTTATGTATTTATTTTTATCCCATATACTTCCGTGTCCACAAAATGCGATGATTTCATATTAATTTTATTACGATTGATGTCAAAACAAAATCTTTTGATAATAATAATCTTAATTACACAACAAAACATTACAAAGTACCTATAGCTCATTTTTAAATTTCGTATTTAGGTTAGCGGAAGTCAGAACACTTTCTCTTACATTGTAGGTAATTGGCCTGTGGTTAATTTTGAAATTAATAATAACTGCGCAAAAAAATAAAACAATTCTGTTGAATTGAAACAAATTATAAGTATTAAAAAAATCCAGGAAGTAACACGCCTATCATAAAATTACCTGCCTACTGCTTGATTGAATTCCTAAGACGTTAACATCAAAGAGACCGTTCATCCAACAAAACGTGGTGAAGCTCATTATAAATTGCGTAATGAGCAAAACACAATGCTATTTTTGTTGAAATTGTAAACTGCGGTCCATCCGCGTTGTCTCGATCCTCGGATCCAAAATTAGCAGCCATTTGTTACGGAACAGTTATGGTAGTAATAATTGTCACCTCGGCCAGTAAAGTGCTGTTTTGCAACACGTGTTTTACTGCTGCAAGCGCGGCCCGCGCCGTGGCGTGTTTTCCATCAGTAGCCTCTTTATTCCCTTGGTAGAATGTGCGATATTGCGACTCTGTGCCCGCAAATTTGTGTAGTAGGAAATCGTCTGACATTTGGCGACACGCCAACAGGCGACTGTATTCACACGCGCACGCATACACCCACACACGCATACCTCTCGCACTGTGCATATTTCCCGTTGCTAGTTAAAACAGATTGATAATACCCAAGTGTCGCACACGGAAATCTTTATTTTTGCGCCGGGACTCATTTTTAAATGCGGCCCGGTGTTTGATTTCTCTAATGTACGAATAGTCATTTATCACGCCACTGTCAAGGTTGATTTAAGGTTAAGATATAAATATAATTATACAAGAGCTTCTACCGTCCACCGCGATATATCATTATGCTATAATAGTTTATGTCGCAACAGCTGTACATAGATATTACAATGGCACTATCATGCCAGTATTGCACCATCAATTGAATTTATGTATTTGTTTTGTCGTCAGGTGGCGTCTGTCCTCGCAAGTTTTGGGTCTATTGATATAAAACCTTATGGTAGACGGACAGCTCTTATTGCAACTAGTACTCAACATACGTAAGTATATGTAACGATACGCATAAACTCAATAGTAACAGGGATAATGTAATGGATGCAGGTGACTCAGGACCGTATTTCGTGACGAAATATAAGATCTATCATACTACTAAAAACGATATTAAAAAAAAATTATCGCTGCGGTTTTAAAACTATAAATTTTGAACTAACATCATCAAGATTTAGATCACCCAATCAAAATGAATAAATACCACACAACGAGAACAGTTTATGAGTTTCATTAAAGAAATACACCTGTGCTGCCATCTATTAAAATAGCAACGAAAAATTTATGAAGAAAACAACTTATTTTCAAGGGAAGAACAAAGTAATAATTAAAACTGAATATTGTTTACAGATTTAGATACATTGTCTCATCGTGTTTTGTGTATTTTATGTATAAAGAAATTAGATATTAAATATATTTAAATGTATATATACGAGTTTATATATATAATATAAATAAAGTGTAATATATACATATATTTATATATGTTTAGCACCTACTGATAGTACAAACTCAGCTTAGTATGCAGGATTTAATAGTGCATATGTCACGGATTACTTGTTTATTAATTACTGATATTTTGTTGTAGTTTTGTTTTAGTTACTGTTTCTTTATTGAAATAACCGTAAAAATTACTATTTGAGAAAATCACGCTCGTTATAGTAGCTAATATAGTATGTCTTTATATAAGTTTATATATCTATATTTATATATATGTATATATAAATTATTTGTGTAAGTAAGTATATTATAAGTATTTTATTATTATTATGTGTAAGTATATTCAAAAATTCAAAAAATTTTCAAAGTTCAAAAATCATTTATTCATGTAGGACATTTTAGCCGCTTATGAACGTCAAATTTTTACATTATAATTTTATTTTTTTCCCTACCGTCCAGTTCGGTATATAGATCCTATTATATTTATTAGATAGAGATATTATTATTTATACTGCGTTTAAATTTATCTTTAGCTCCCTTTTCTCCTTTTTAGTATTATTATTTTTATCTGTTACGTCTTGACCACACACAGTTTTAATTATTCCTTTTCACCCTAAGGTTGTCTGAAAGACATAGCTATTTAGCGATAAGACCGTCCGATATCACCTTTTTATCTTGCCTTTATGTAATTAAGTTTATATACTTAATTATTTATAATTTTGTGTACATATTCTTAATTTTTATAATCATTCTTTAAAGAAAACAATAAAGTTTTCATTCATTCATTCGAAGCTGAATTATTTAATATTGTTGCAATTTAAGTAATTATAGTTTAAATAATTACAAAAAAATACATACATTTATATCAAGCCTGTCTCCTATTAGGGTAGGCAGAAACAGTAGAACGCCAAATACTTCGATTCAAAGTCCTAAAGTATATAATCAATCAAATTTGAGCTCTATATGTTTTTATTTATTTATAGTAATGCCATTATAAATAGTATGTATATGCACATTTACATGTATATAAATGCTCAATCTATTAGTTTTTTTTTAATGGATGATAATGGAATAGTGGGCTATCACCTGCGCTATTGGTAAACACCGGCGGGGCACCAATAAAGGATGATAGGTGAGGATGAAGTAGGTCAGTTAGCCCATCGTGACGAATTCAACAAGAATTGTTCACGATGGTTTCCAGGGGGAACCACGTGGAGGTAGACCTAATAAGGCATATTGCTAGCAATGGGGCTGTCAAACTCCATTGCTAATAATCCCTTTCCCCCAATCTAATAGTTTGCATGTATGTCAACCGAGCATTTAATATAACACCATGGCTAAATCACATTTTTGAATTAAACGATACAGGCTTGCATGCCTAGTGTGTAATTCGTAGTGTTAATCATCTATGTAAAAGTTTTTTTGGCAAATAAATATTAATTTCATTACAGGCTGGAGAAAATCCTGAAACAGTTTAAAGACAGTAGAGAATATAAAATATCGATGTTCAACGTGTACAGGCATACACCGGCGAGTCGGTTCGTGATGTGGTATGTTTTAATCAAATTTATCAAGACTTTAATTAATTAAAATACCTAGTCTATAGTATTTTCAACATACTTCAAAAAGAAGGAGTTCTCAATACGATTATATTTCTTTTTTTATGTTTGTTACCTCATAACCTCGTGAATTCTAATCCGATTTTAAAAATTCTTTTTTTTTTGTTTTAAATCAATTACTTACAAATTGGTCTCATAGTAATTTCATAAAAATTGGTTTAGTGGTTTAGGTTTTAGATTAAAATTTCTGTGATTACAAATCATAATTGCTTGTGATAAAAACATATAACCGATTTCAAAATCGGTTTTAGGAACGGGTGGCCCATTCTATGCCTGGACCACACGGCATTGTTTCTATAGTAAATTATAAATTTAAACGTCTTATTTTTCAGGGGTGGCGCGTTACTTACAGGGAGTATAGTGTTATTCTTATTCCATAAGGGAGTAAAATGATGTCGTTCGATCTCTTAAATGATAGATAGCCAATCATTTATATAGTATATATAAATATCAAATTAGTTTTACACCAAATTATCAACGCTAAAAAATGTTATATTTTATATTTACTCATGTTATTTCTCATGTTTTAAAAGAAAATTGATTATTAACAATAATTATTCAATCAATAAGAAATAATATTCTGTTACTCCACTAAAACTTATAAAAATACAATATCTACCTCAACTATACGTATTTTACTTTTCTACTCTTAACATCCACTAATATTACTAGTAAACCATGAGATTTACTCTTTCTTTACTTTTTTTTTATGCAACTTAGAATGGCAAACAAGTTGACAGCCCACGTGATGAAAAGTGGTAACTGTTACCTATAGACATGAGCAGTGCCATGGACATAACAGAGTATACTGTTTTGCCCATGATACCCCCCCCCCTCCCTGCGTTGCCATTCCTGAGGACATAGGTGTTATGCCTCGGTACCCTCTAAATTCACTGGCGTATCTCACCCTTCAAACCGAACACTTCATGCAAACAACTACTTCACGGTTAAAACACGAATGGAACAGAGGTGTTCACTACATTCGACACATATTTATTAAAATAATACTAATTAAGCAACCAATAAGCGGTCATTTTAAATTACTTAAATTTTTTTACAAGAATAAACTTAACGTAAGAACAGGAAACTTATCATCCGAAGGTACATTATTGAGTATAGTACTTAAACGACAAATAGACTAAACATACTAATTTATAAACCGCTATGACTACTGAACGCACTAGAGAACTTTATGGAATGAATCTGTAAACAATAAATACAATTAGCTGAACAAGACACGAAGACGAGTGGCGGTCTTCCACCGTGCGTTTTTTAAGGCACTTTCTTCCACGCACAACCATTCTTTGGAATCAACTTCCAGCAGCAGTATTTCCAAACCGATACGACAACATAACCTTCAAGAAAAGAGTATATTCCTTTTTAAAAGGCCGGCAGCACACCTGCAATGCCGCTGGTGTTGTGGGTGATCATGGGCGGTGGTAGTCACTTACCATCAGGTGAGCCGCATGCTCGTTTGCCCCCTGTGTTGTAAAAAAAAAAAGACAGAAAATTAAAGTTCCTTTTTCAACTATAGTGGGTACTTTTTCTATAAATACTTCCGCCATTTCCCCGCCGACGTCCGCGCATCTATTCAAGTAGCCTTGCCTACTTTATATTTCCATAAAGAGTGCTCTTGTTTTGTGGAAATGCATGTCTCCCTACTCCACAGAACATCGCTAGCAGGTGACAAGGTCTCCGAAGAAAAACTAACTGCCGACTTGAACTTAATAAACCTCGCTGTGTCCGTCGAGGACATGTCACGGATTCGTCTACATGTTACTGGATTCTAAATACAAATTATATCAAGCTCGAGGTTATATCCCTCATCATCAGAACCTCATTTACAAACAGTTCCTAATATATCAATAATTACTAGTACAGCATTCGAATATTCTGACACTTCCTTATGGTTGATTGGGAGAGAATGCTTTGAGCATTAAGTCCGCCATGTACACATATTTATACTAATGAATAAATAAATAAAAAATAAATATAGATATACACCTACTTATGAAGTAGATACTAGTGCTGATAATCAACATAGATAAATACTCTTTATTGTTTCCTCCATAAGATTACAATAGTAAACTTATTATAAATACAAACAATTACAAAAAAAGATCACACTGAGAAAACAATGGGCGGCCTTATCGGTAAGAGCAATATCTACCAGGCAACCTTTGTATGAAAAAGAGTAATTATAAACAGTTTAACTGGAGGTACGAAGCTCTGTTCGATTTACATAAATACATAAATTACACAATGTGTCCAAATTTTACAGAGCTTGAGCAGTACGTTGCAGTCACAATCATAATCCTTGTTTACTACTCGACTAACAAATTGATGCCATTTCAAAAGCAATGCTGGCATTTTACCACAATGAACGGATTTGATTTTCCATAGACAAATACATCTACGTATGTAGGTATCTACTTTTGTAATGTAATTAAAAAAAAATAAAAGGTTGTCAGTTCGACCGTTACTAGTTTCATATATATACGAGTATAATAATATTGAAATGCACACAATGATATTAATGATAATGACTAAATCTTAACTAAAATTCGCTACACAATACACTTTATAGTCTAAGGTTACGCATTATACCTATTAGATATAGAAATTTATTTATTTACACTTTATTGCACCATTTATAAAGTAATAAATACAGTTAATGAGAAGTGATACAAAAGGCGACTTTATCGCTAAGAAATCTCTTCCAGACAACCTTTGGGTAGAGGACATTAAGAAAAAAGACAAATTATCTCTGCTTGGAACGTAACAAAGTCTTTATTGCGCAAAAAATAGACGTGTATGTACGTAGAATCTTGATACAGAATATGCAATTTAAAAAGACGGTGTAATCTTCTTAAGTAAATAAATAATTAAACCAAAATTTTTTTTTACTTTGCAATTATTAATAAAGACTTATGGAGTGTCCTCAACCACAACGACGATGGACAAGAGCGTCCCTCTTCAAACACCACTAAAACTTAACTGCAACCGCCAACTCGCCTGCTACAACTACTGACAAAACCCTCCGATAAGACATAGACAACATAGGCCTCCCTATGCTCAGCAGATTTTTTTTTTAAATAAATAAATAAATAATTTTTATTTTATTCTACACCGTATTACCGAATTTATTGATCAATAGAATCATAATATATTATAGCATTATTAAAAATACAAGAAAAATATTCGTGGTAAACGAAAGACAATTAACTACAAAATATAGAAAAATAGATAATGAATTTTTGCACGTTCAAAGTTGGTTGAAGTTGAAGCGAAGAGACCACGACGTATGCTCGTATTTTTATATTTTTAAAACACCGGTACCGTCGCCTGTGACGTCTGAACACCGGACTTGTCACATACGTATTTTCATTCCTTTCTCCTAATATATTAATAGAATTTTGCAGCTTTCCAATTTTCCAAAGATTAACTCAAACAGACATAAATACCTTATCTCGCTTGACAAAAATGACTAATGAGTTAACAGTATCAAGGACGGTCCACTATAGACATAAGCAATGCAATGAGCATTATAAAATATACTGTGATGCCTATAATGTTGCATGCGTTGCCATTCCTAAGGCCTATGACAGATGAGATCATGAAGATAGAGACGGTACTCTGTACCCTGTAAGTTTATTGTCAAATCCCACCTCCCGGCCATAACCCGGCATTTATACGAGCAGGACAGAGCTACACAAACAAAAGACTTTTATACAGTCTCCTTTGGTAAATCCTACTAATGAAAATCTACACTTAGTCCAAAATATTTATCTAAAGTACAATGTACAGTGATGAGCCCAGCCTTTGTCATTAAATAATTAGTAAAGAACTCTTTCTAAATCTACTGCAATCATGAATTGAATCGGGGTCAATCCAAGACCTTATTTATGTAAAGTGAATTGCATTGCCGCAGCAAAGATCTTGAACATTTATTGTACCTACGTATTTCCTTACAAGACAGCATGATCTAATGGTTGAAATGTTGCGTCAAGTGACCTACGTTTCTTATTGTTGTATTAATAGCAATATGTAGATATGTGTCATCTCGGACATTTCATGATATTATCTAGGGAATACGAACTATCAGAGCGGTAACATCTCTTTTTCCTTCTAATCTTTTAATTTTTTATTAAGTATAGATACTGGTAGAATGATCACGTTCACACTGTACTTCGAATACCATTCAAAGTTGTCATCTGGTAAGTAACATCAGAGGCCTTCTATAACGAATTTTCCTAGAAACATACCGACTTTTAGGAGTAAATATTCCTTTTACCTTATCCAAATTATATACAATCATTTATTTATTCAAACTTTATTAAATAATAAAATGTGGTACAAAAGGTGGACTACCAGTCAACCTTTAGGATGTAGAAAGAAAGGTGCTCGATGGCGGTTTAAATAATAAAATAATCATCGCTTAGTCAATCGTAATAAACAATACCAATGCCACGATCATTTAAAACAAATTATGGCCTAATTTTGCGATACTTGCCATCAGCCACATACATTGTTGTGACAGTAGTTTCCACATCACCACGCTGCCAATCCCCCAGTGGTTGTTACAGACCAGTAATAAACTTTATGTATGCATCGTTAAAAACATTGTAGTCCGTTTCAGCCGCGCGAAACACCTAACAATGTGTGGTTTATTTATTGTTCCTCCATAATTATAAAGCTCGCCCACGATTTCATGCAAAATTTATTAATTAAGCATGTTAAACGCAAGTGAGTTTAATATACTATGTCGGCGTTTACACAGCGTCATTGGTGAATACCTAAATATTTGGGAATATTCATCAAAGTGCCAAGCTATTGGCATTTAAACTATTACTGCACTAATTAATTAGATGTTTCAATTTATGTTTAAGTAATGCAGATACCTACTTCCTATAGTTATTAATACACATATTTATACCTATTGAGACAAATCTGCTTTGGCAAAAATGTAAACTAAAATAAATCGAAAGAATTGATCAGAAGCTGACCAAAATTATTTTTATCAAATTTTATATGGACCATGATACTAGAATATAGACGTCAGGATGTCTTGGGACATCTCATTTTATTTAAATCTAGAGACGAAGTCACCTTGGGTTGACATAATAAATACCGGAGCATCATTTGTGTGTCACGGCGCGGGCCCAACGATCGTTATCCAGACTACGAGTACGAGCTAAGAACTACATGCTCTTGGAACAGTATTATAAATGCGAATGATCGCAACCGTCCGGCCGCGCTTCGCGTCACTCCTGTCCTTCCCTTGTAACCGAGACCTATTGTTCACAATGTCTGTCCGACTGAAAAATCTACTCTATTTAATTTCTTTGGCAGCTGGCGTCGCCGCTGTCTAGTATATTTTCATTGGTGCCGCGTGGGCCGCTATACGCCAATATAGCAGGACTGACGCCGATTTTTATTACGTTCGCAATCCAATATCGTATTGTTTTATTGATTTGTAAAATAAATGTTGATGATGTAGTCACAGGACGCCTAAGTTATTTGGTTTATTTTTTCACGACTGATGCAATGTCGTCGTAATGCATGTGTTGAATTTATCATTTTTTATTTGTACTAATAAAAAGAAGGATCTCTCTGAAAAAAATGTCATTTTT